AAAGCACATGGACAATATATTAAATAAGGTTTCCGACATTTTTCCTCTGTACACTTGTGGTTTAGAAAAGGACAAAAATTTGAAAATAATTTGATCTTGATAATAGTCATATACTATCAAACTGTTTGAAAGCGAAAGAAAACAATGCTATTTATATCTAGCCAGCATGGAACATACCAGAGAGACGTTCAAATCACGACTGGCCTGACTCGGGGATGGTGAAGTTCCTCGACTACTCAACTCGGTACAGAGAAGGCCTTGACCTTATACTCAAAGGAATTACGTGTACTATTCATCCCAGGGAAAAGGTACAACATAGTTTGATTCTTTCACCTCAAGCACCAGACGGCAATGGACATTGATAAAATACTGTCACCAGCAAACAAGCATTTTTATATAATTGACGCTTTTAACATTAGCTCATTAAATTGTACCTTTGATATGAGCGAGGAATAAAGAGTGTGATCTGTATTTATGCATGAGTAAACAAGAGGTTTGTGGTGTTACTGGTTGTCAGGTCGGCATCGTGGGCAGGACGGGGGCTGGGAAGTCTTCTCTGACTCTGTCCCTGTTCCGGCTGATAGAAGCTGCAGGAGGAGAGATCAACATAGATGGCGTTGACGTCAGTACACTCGGGCTGCATGACCTTAGGAACAAACTCACCATACTCCCTCAGGTAAGCCTGCATGACCTGAGGAACAAACTCACCATACTACCTCAGGTAAGCCTGAATGACCTCAGGAACAAACTCACCATACTACCTCAGGTAAGCCTGCATAACCTCAGGAACAAACTCACCATACTACCTCAGATAAGCCTGCATGACTTCAGGAACAAACTCACCATACTACCTCAGGTAAGCCTGCATAACCTCAGGAACAAACTCACCACACTGCCTCAGGTAAGCCTGCATAACCTCAGGAACAAACTCACCATACTACCTCAGGTAGGTCTGCATGACCTCAGGTAGGCGTGTAGTGTAAATATCTAACAAGCCTTTCTTTCAATCTGTCTGTCGTAACTGAGGCACCCGTATTCTGAGTTTGAATGATGTTTTCAGGATCCCGTATTGTTTGCCGGAAGTCTGCGAGGCAATGTCGACCCCTTCAACCAGTATTCAGACAATCAGATCTGGCGGGCACTGGAACAGGCTCATCTGAAGACGTTCGTGGAGGTACTTTCTGACGGACTGGAACACGAGTGTAGCGAAGGAGGAGGGAATATGAGGTACAGTATAGTATTTATGCTTCATTATTCCACACCTTGTTTGGACTCTTGTGGCTAAGTATATATTCAATGCTTGATATAACATACGCTTGTGATGTATGTAGTGACTTGTGTCGGTCAGGAGGTTACTAGGTGAGACAAGGCGGTTTATGTGTCACCGTACTTGGCCAAGATTGCCATAATCTGCAAAATGGGAGCATTCGAGGTTAAACAGCATTTGCTTTTTTATTGCTGGACATTATCCAAGAATATTTCTTCTTTGCCCTGGTATATCTGATATGCATACGCATATAATTTAATTGTCATGACAGTCGACTTTGGTCAAGTAACAATTCAAAAGTAAGTTCTTTTCCCGAATCCTACTTCTTGTTATTCTTTAATGAAATTGTCTAGTTGTCCGTATTTAGGTGTGTGAAGGGAGTCGATTGCATGTCCAATTATTGGTACAAAATGTTTCTGAAATATACTCTTGTGCTCCAGTATTGGTCAGCGGCAACTCCTCTGTCTGGCCAGAGCACTTTTAAAGAAGACCAAGGTTCTTGTTCTGGACGAGGCTACATCGGCCGTTGACATGGAAACAGATGATCTGATCCAGCGGACCATCAGGTCAGAGTTCAAGGACTGCACGGTGCTGACCATTGCCCACAGACTCAACACAGTCATGGACTACGACAGGTATATTTTTTCACAGACTACTCTATATTGGCCTCGTTTCTGATAAATGTAATACCAGGCCCAGTCGTCAGTGTGCGCTCAAACCTTCATTATGCCTTCCCTGAACAGCATACTAACAACCTGCCATATTTGGGTGTTAGAATTTTAACGGTCGCATTACCATTTCATCCTGAAGCCTAGACTTCAAGCAATGTCTGGGTTTTTTACTTTGTTTGTAACATGCCCATGTTGTAATGAGTCCCAACCAATAAATGGACACGCTCTAGGCTAGGCTTGGTGTGAGGCAGGGCACAAAACCCTAAAAGCTCTCAGCACGGAAAAACAATTATTCAGTGTAGGTTTTATGTACAGTATCGCTTCTGGACATTCTCGTGATCTTCCATCAAAGACTGTGAAGCACCACTCGTAATATCTTTCATCGAAATCTAGCAAATCTACTGATAAAATCTCAACTACCCACAGTCCATTTTATTGTAAGCCATAAGAACGCTAAAGCTTCTATGCTTCTACATTCAATTGCATTACGTGACATTGGATCAGAGGTCCCTCACAACTCGCAATACAAATCTTAGTAATGATGAATTAAGAAGTAGAACGTATCTTTCAGGATCCTGGTCCTTGACAACGGCCGTGTGTGTGAGTTTGACACACCCTCCTCCCTGCTGCAACAGCCCGACAGCATCTTCTACAACATGGCCAAAACAGCAGGGTTAATAGCATGAGGGCTTTATGTAACGCATGATTGATATTTTCACTGCTGAATAAACAAAATAATAGTATGATGTGTATGTTGTACAGGAACCTTGCTTGTTGTGTTGACTTGTGTTCATCATAACTGATTCATCTCCATGCTATGCTACTAATCTATTAACAACTAAGAACAACAACCATTTTATTTGGAGGGTCTCGGATTGGATTTTTTAACGCAAAAGGTTAACAACGTTAACCCACGTGAGACGTTAGATTGCGGCGACTGGTTGCTGGATTGTCTCCAGTGATCATCCTTGCAACATTTCCAGTAGTGGTTCTGCCTCTCAAAGAGATTGATTATGACGGCCTTCTTTTTACTAACCTGTTAAGAAATGTTTTATCCTCAGCTACGCTTGACTTCTTTGACTTCTTTTGATACGCTTGCTTGTAATAACACTTAATAAGACATACACAAGCAAACTTTCCTTGCCTAAACTCATCCAGCCTACTTATGTGTAATAATTTGTTTGAATGGCATTTAGAAGTTGGTGGTATAGAGATGTCAAAATAGAGAAGCTGATCATCCATAAAGTCTTGTCATCTTTAAGTGTAATAACACTCAATTAGCCATACACAAGTAACGAGCTTGCTTACGTGTAATGGCACACAATTACTCCTAGAACCTAATCATGCTCATTCTTACAAACAGTTTTACTAGACTTTACACACGCAACAGGAATCGTGAGTGACACGTGATGTGCTTCATTCCATGTTTATGCCCATCACGTACCCATGTATGGGAGACAATCTTCCGTCACCGGTTTAATCCATTATGCATTTTAAGACCACACAAATAGGTTTCTCTAATGATAAAAGTTAATTGCATTTCTTGGATGAATTAAAAAAGAGCACATGACTACAGACCAACAACATTCATGCTTTTTCATGTGGCCAATTTGCCCATCGGTGTGGCAGCCTTGACATTTTTTCATGTCAATTTTGAGGTGAGATGTTGACACGTTGCCCTCTTGACCTGTCCCTGATGTCTCGGAACACTGCGCCGGCACCAGATTGAACACAGATGCTCCCTGTTATACAGTATTATATATTTTTCTTCTTTTCACCATGCTCTTTATTCCCCCAAAAGAAGCGTTTTAGGTGCTGAAATCTGGCATGTGTGCTTCTTCCTATGGCGTGTAGTACATTCTTCAGTCAATAGATCTCTCTGATAGATTGTAGTATGTATTCAGAATGATTTTAAACAAACCTTTTAATAGTGTCTTTGTTGAGAGAGGCGTTCGAGTAGCCTAGTGTTTAAAGCGTCAACTCGGGTTCGATTCCCCACTTGGGTGCAGTGTGTTAAACCCCATCTCTAGTGTCCTCTGATATTGCTGAAACATTGCTAAAAGGGATGTAAAAGCATACTCGCTCAATAACAGCGTTGACATTATAGATACTGACTATCAAGGTGAGCTACAATACCGAAGCAACATTTGTGTACAATTTCAATTCTCATAAACCATATACTAGTATGCAAATACAAATTCAAAATAGCAGACAAACAAAAGAATACAACCTATTAGCATTATTTCTGACAAAGAGATGTATATTAATATATTGAGATTAAATTTACTAAGTCTCATGAATTTTTTGCAAATAATATTTTTGTAAACTTTGTTACATTGAGAAAAGAGGTTAGATGAGTGGGTAAATTCTGTTCCTTTGCAATCAAAAATATAATGATATTCATCTACGATGCTTTTAGAAGTGCATAATTGACACGTTCTTTCATCTCTTGGAATATTACACCAGCGGCCCGTGTCAATAGGTAAATTATAGTTACATGTTCTAAAACTCAATAATGATAAAGAAATACGTTTGAAACTCCTGCTGTAGGTATATACATCGGCGAAGAGATTCGAACCTGCCCAAACCACATGCGTAATTAAGCATTGAAGGCAGTGTTAATCCCAGCTGTCAATGATGGGAAACCAATACTGCACATTATCCTCCCGCATAAGGAAGCACATGTGATACAAGTGAGTTTGTTAAGAAACAGTGCCTCTGTTCACCCTGCAGAAAATGGGTACCCGGTGGGATAAGTCATGTGACTATAACCTTTAAGCGCCTAACAGGCAACTTGGGTTATCCGGGGTAATAATGTGCTTTGCTTTGAGTGTTAGCGCTATGAGCACACCTGGTGTGGAGTTCAGCGCTATATCAATGGACACATTATTATTATTTTTTATACCAACCTATGTACACAGGCGTATTGTGTGTGGCGTGCCTATGATGGGGAGATACCTTAAACTTGCCAACAGCAGGTCACATGATGAAAGAGACCCGAAAGAAGAGAAATCAGGTCATGTCAGGTCAGGCTGATAAGCACATGTACTCACCACAATAGCTATACCTTCAATGAAGTTCCTACCATTTCACAACCACTCACAATGGCCTCGCTGTGTAACGGTACGCCGGTATGGGTAAGTAAGCTATATACATACACTCACGGGCGTGGGCCTGTTTCAGTGTACACACATCGTTCACTATCTTATAATATGTAAGTGTATTGTGTATACAGGATGAATAATACTCATGTATACACTGATATGTATTTCCACATAGTAATTGTTATTTCGTCGAGTCTCAGAGAAATGTTTACACGATGTGTTTCTGTATAGTTTTGTCAAAGGCAGTCTAAGTCCCATTAAACCCCGCTTTCTGAACAGTATCGGTTATGATACATATTTATTTATGTATTGTGTATTTAGTGTATAGTGTAGGAAATGCATATATAGAAATGTTTGTAAAAACTCTAGCCTTTTATGGTAACGTTGTGTATATGATGATGTTGATGTGATTGTATTTCTGTACAGCGACCCCTCGTTCATCTGTAAACCCCACGTTCCGGAATCATACGTTTAGGATCTATATAACCATGAAAACTGGCGATCGTGTATCACTGTTATAAACGCTATCATAATGTAACAACACATCCATATGAATTGCACTCCAAACGTAGTACATTATCATGGAAACACTTTGATAAGAGGGGTACATAATTTTCTAAAGATATATTTACATACTAAGGATTAAACGAGGCAAATCTTAATTCAAGGCATAGAAGGTATGGGTGCAATTTCCTCCCAATTGAGGTTATACTCTGATGCATGTTGTTTCATGCTTATGTATGTTTTTTATTGGTAGTGTGATGTATACACGACTGCTTCAGTTACAAATTGTTACGTTGAAACCATTATTCAAATATTTGTATTAGGGCAAGGTCAGAGAGGTCTTTCAGAACAAAAGATAAGCTTTCGATTGCACCACTCGTAGTAATACCCATTTCAATGAGTCACGTCTTGCTGAACAAAGGGAGATAACGAATGGAGACACACATTCTCACGTTCACAAACTACTACAAATATCGCAATTACTACCACCAATACTACATCTACTACTACAATAGAGCAATATTCACCTACTCACCATTACTACAACTGCGACTACAACTACCACTACAACCACAATAACTATAACTACTACAACAACTACTATTACTACATCAGTGTACATGTATCGCTATTCTGCTCAGAATGCAGATGCAATGAACCCCTCACTTTTCTCCCCGCTTATGCTGCATGTGTAGCTCCTTTTCTCCCCGCTTATGCTGCATGTGTAGCTCCTGTGTTCCTGGCTTATGCTGCATGTGTAGTTCCTGTGTTCCTGACGTAGGCTGAATCTGTAGCTCCTTTTCTCCCCGCTTATGCTGCATGTGTGGCTTATGCTGCATGTGTAGCTCCTGTGTTCCTCACTTATGCTGAATGTGTAGCTCCTGTGTTTCTGGCTTATGCTGCATGTGTAGCTCCTCTGTTCCCGGCTAATACTGCATGTGTAGCTCCTGTGTTCCTAGCTTATGCTGCATGTGTAGCTCATGTGCTCCTGGCTAATACTGCATGTGTAGCTCCTGTGTTCCCGGCTTATGCTGCATGTGTAGCTCCTGTGTTTCCGGCTCATGCTGCATCTGTAGCTCCTGTGTTCCTGGCTAATACTGCATGTGTAGCTCCTGTGTTCCTGGCTTATGCAGCATGTGTAGCTAATGTGGTCCGGCTTATGTTGCATGTGTAGCTCCTGTGTTCCCGGCTTATGTTGCATGTGTAGCTCTTGTGTTCCTGGCTTATACTGCATGTATAGCTCCTGTGTTCCTGGCTTATACTGCATGTGTAGCGTCTCGGTTCCCGGCTGATACTGCATGTGTAGCTCCTGTGTTCCTGACTTATGCTGCATGTGGATCTCCTTTTCTCCCCGCTTATGCTGCATGTGTAGCTCCTGTGTTCCTGGCTTATACTGCATGTGTAGCTCCTGTGTTCCTGACTTATGCTGCATGTGTAGTTCCTGTGTTCCTGGCTTATGCTGTATATGTAGCTCATCTGTTCCTGGCTTATGCTGCATGTGTAGCTTCTCTGTTCCTGGTTTACACTGCATGTGTAGCTCCTGTGTTCCCGGCTTATGCTGCATGTGTAGCTCCTCTGTTTCCGGCTAATACAGCATGTGTAGCTCCTCTGTTCCTGGCTTATGCTGCATGTGTAGCTCCTGTGTTCCAGACTTATGCTGCATGTGTAGATCCTCTGTTCCTGGCTTATACTGCATGTGTAGCGTCTCTGTTCCCGGCTGATACTGCATGTGTAGCTTCTGTGTTCCTGGCTTATGCTGCATATGTAGCCCCTCTGTTCCTGGCTTATACTGCATGTGTAGCTCCTGTGTTAATGGCTTATGCTGCATGTGTAGCTCCTCTGTTCCGGGCTAATACTGCATGTGTAGCTCCTGTGTTCCTGGCTTATACTGCATATGTAGCTCCTCTGTTCCCGGCTGATACTGCATGTGTACCTCTTGTGTTCCTGGCTTTGGCTGCTTTTGTAGCGTCTCGGTCCCCGGCCTAGTTTGTATGTGCAACTTTTCGGTTCCCGGCTGATACTGCATGTGTAGCTACCCTGTTCCCGGCTGATACTGCATGTGTAGCTCCTTTGTTCCCGTCTTAGACTGCCTGTCTAGCGTCTCGATTCCATGCTTAGACTACATGTGTTGCTTTTCGGTTCCCGGTTTACTCTGCATATGTAGCTCCTCTGTTCCCGGCTTAAGCTGCATTGTGTAGCTCCTCTGTTCCCGGCTTAGGTTGCATGTGTAGCGTCTCTGTTCCCGGCTTTTTCTACGTGTGTAGCATCTCTGTTCCCGGCTAATACTGCATGTGTAGCTCCTCTGTTCCCGGCTTATGCTGCATGTGTAGCATCTCTGTTCCCGGCTAATACTGCATGTGTAGCTCCTGTGTTCCCGGCTAATACTGCATGTGTAGCTCCTCTGTTCCCGGCTAATACTGCATGTGTAGCTCCTCTGTTCCCGGCTAATACTGCATGTGTAGCTTCTCTGTTCCCGGCTAATACTGCATGTGTAGCCTCTCTGTTCCCGGCTTATGCTGCACGTGCAGCTTCTCTGTTCCTGGCTTATACTGTATGTAGCTTCTCTGTTCCTGGCTTATACTGTATGTAGCTTCTCGGTTTATGCTGCATGTGTTCATGTTGGTTCTCTGTTCCCGGTTTGTGCTCTTTGTGTAGCTCCTCTGTTCCGGGCCTATGCTGCATGTGTAATGTTATCGACTTATTGCTGCATATCTACAATGGATCCTTCTGTTCCAGGACACAGACCTGACCTGGTACAACACATGGCCGCAGTTCACAGACTGCTTCCAGTCCACGGTGCTGGTGTGGGTGCCGTGTGGGTGGCTGTGGCTGACGTCGCCGTTCTACGTCTACTACCTCATGAACGTCACACCGACAATACTGTCATCACACTGGAAATATTACTTGAAACAGGTTACGTAATTGTTTAATTCACTATGCGAAACAACCTCAGACACAGGTAAACAAGTTTATTTATGATACCGTGCATGTGAAAGCTATTAAGCTTTTGACCATATATTTGTTGATACCAATATCGTTGCAAAAGATTGTATTTATCAGAAAGAACTTCTGTCTCAATTCATACTCGAATTCGACAAAATAAGTCCGTCTGTGATTGTTTTGATTGGGTTTAGTTTTACGTCACTTTTAGTAATATTCCAGCAATATCATGGCGAATGACACCAGAAAAGGGCTTCACACGTTGTACCCACGTGGGGAAGCGAACCCAGGGAATCGAACCCACGCCTGACCCACTAGGATACCCCACCGTCCCTTCGTCTGTGGGTCAACAATGTTGATTTTGGGAGTCAGCCTGTTCAGATCCAACCTCCATACTTCAACTACCAGCTCCCGCTAGTATACCTGTTTATGATTCTTCAATATTAATCCTAATAAGATTAAACGACTAGACTTAGAATTAGTCTTAGACATCCAGAGTATGTCCGAAATATTTTACAAGTTGTTCCATGTATCAAATTCCAGATGGTGTGTGGACTGCTTGTGCTTGTGTCAGTTGTGGAGATTATTCGGGCATCATCTGAAGACAAGTCTGAGAATTTCTCAGCAATCTACATTGCACCCATAATAAAGACATTAACGTTTGTATGTCTGACTTTAACCAGCAAAGCATTCTCTGGGGAACTGTTTGACAGAACTCTAAATGTTTTCACCCAGATTCATCTCTGCAAAACATGTGTCTCATTTAATTCATGTTCACCTTATATCAGTATTGAATACACTGGTCCGACGTTCGTTTTAAAACTAATAATTCAGATTCATCTTTGTGAAACTTGTATCTTATTTAATTCTCGTTCACCTTATATCTATATTTATCACACTTGTCCAACGTGGGTTATAACACTATTAATTCAGATTCATCTCTGTGAAACATGTGTCTTATTTAATTCCCGTTCAGCATATATCAATATTTAACACACTTGTCCACCGGGAGTTGTACATTACCGACACAAATACACGTAAAACGAAGTTCATGTCGTCCAAGATGTTTGTCTGTGCTGTCAATCCATCTTTGCTAATACAATACATACATTACTGATGAAATTTCGCAGAGTGCCTTCAACTATTATCTCAGCTAGTAGTCAATTTTAAAGCGTTTTCAAAAAATAATGTAAAAATTAATTTAAATATTATTAACCACACACATCCTATATGTACACGCTTATATCGGAAGACACATGTCTTCGAGCCTTGTTGGTTCCATCTGACATGTAGTTTGTTTGGCATGGCCTGTGTTTCCTCAGATTTACTCCATGGTTTTGCTATTCCTGGAAAGAAGGAAGGGTCTCACCACATCGGGCGTGATGTTCACGTTCTGGGTCCTTCTGGTTGTTGCTGCAGTAGTGCCTTTCTACACAAACATTAAACAAGAGGTACAGTGTTCACCTTGCAGATTGTAGTCAGTGATCTGGATTTCAACAGTTTTCCAATTAGCACCCCGATGTTGTGATTTGTCAGTAACATCCAAGATACATATGTTTTTTAAATAAAACTCATTTTGACTCTGTACTTACAATGTTTACTAATGCAGACTTGTTCTCGTCACTATATGGCTGGAATAATGCAGATGTGACGAAAAGCCCAACTCAACTCAACTCAACTCCAAGATAGTGCATTTGTTTACTTACGAATTCGGGTATGGTGCTAACGAACAAACAAATCGAAACGGGTCTAAAGTTGGAGTCGAACCCACATTGTGCATGTCCGACTCAAAGGACAGGATGCAACTCAGCACAGCTCTTTTGGTGTGTGCAATGGCACCAGGCCATACAAGTGCAACGGACAGAAGGCGACCACATATATGGTAAAGGTATTCGCCATACATCTACAGAATGGCATAGCTGTTAACTGTATCAAAATTGTATTTGATTAATGATATTTTTAAATGACTGTTTGCTTCATGTTGCTTCAAAACTAAACCATGGCCTCTACTTTCAGGAATACGATGTGGACATGTTCAAGTTCTGTATGTTCTATGGTTACTTTGCTCTGGTCATCGTGGAGCTGACACTAAGTTGTTTTGCTGAGGCGTCACAGCGGGATAAGGTACATCCAACATTTTATAATAAATACATTGTAATAATATATTCATTCCATTCATGTTCAAATTTTTACCTAATTCTTAAAGGACCCGTAAAGATCAGGGTTAGAATTGGTCTTCAGCAACCCATGCTTGTCGTAAGAGACTACTAACAGGATCGGGTGTTCAGGCTGGCTGACTTGGTTGACACATGTCATCGTATCCCACTAGCGTGGATCGATGCTCATGCTATTGATCATTGGATTGACTAGTCCAGGATCGATTATTTACAGACCGCTGGAGTAATGATGAGTGTGACGTTAAACAACAAACAAATGTTAAAAGAAAGACGTGCACGCATGTTTACGACCCATCTGGACATTTGAAACTCGCAGGTTTGGATAAACTTTAAAATATTGTTACAAGTGGTGTCATGGTGACAGTTACACTTTTTATCTTGCTCAGTACTGAACGCTTTGCTCTTATGATATGTCATGCACAGTTGTATGGCTTTAATCAGTAGAAGTTGGAAAGATTGCAAGTACATGAACGAACCAAGGTGAGACTTAAACATCATTTATTTACTTCTAGTTAGTATTAACAGGCGATAGGGTAGGTAAGTAGGTAAAGCGTTCGCTCGTCACGCCGAATATCCGAGTTTGAGTCTAACATTTCAGGTAAAATGATATCTAAGCTGATTGGATATTTATTCGACAGACGGATTCACCTGAATTGTCGGCTTCGTTCTTGTCGAGAATAACGTTCTGGTGGGTCAACAGGTGAGTTACACTGATTATCTAAGAACATCGTTTTTCCTTGCAGCCATGTACTGTAACTTTTATGATAAGATAAATTTAATGCAAAATGATACACAGTTATGAATATGAATTATCAATCATAATTTCATTCACATTTAAAATGCTACCTTGGTTTGTTAAACCCTCCCATGACATTCAGTTGTTCAGCGTAAGCGACGCTACTTCTAGGATTCTACGATGCCCAATAATTGGTTGGTTGGCTGGTTGGTTGGTTGTTTGGCTGTTTGTTTGATTGTTTGCTTGTTTGTTTATTACAGTCTTTGCTCATAAGTGACTTGGTCAATAGCACAGATACCTAAGGGAAGCATGTCGTAAACAGCAACTTCTCATTTCAAATAACTTAAAAACACATGAATTTTGTATTCTTCAGTGTGAATTCGTATTCATATTTTGCAATGGGTTCCTTCAAATTTAGTCTCATACTGAGAGGATACAGAAAAGCCTTAACTGAGAATGACGTGGACGATCTTCACCCGAGGGACAAGTCTGCCAACAACGTACCACGGTTCTTATATTTTTGGGATAAGGAAGTATCTAAGAACAGCATCAGGTAAGGCATGGTTGGATGATTGTAATTGTGGTGGCCTGGTAGCTCTTGTGATTGGTTTGGTTTGGTTGTTGTTTAACGCCGAACACAGCAAGATTCCAGCCATATGGCAGCAGTCTGTAAAGAATCGAGTCGGTACCAGACAATCCAGTGATCACCTGCATGCGCATCGATCTACGCAACTGTGATACGATGACATGTGTCAAACAAATTAGTGATGACATCAAGTGTTCTCAAAAGATTAAGTATGTCCAAACATACCAATAGCGTGGATAACATTGGTGTTACGCTGCTTTTAGCACCAATCCAGCATTATCACGCCGAGTGATTCCAGAAATGGCTTCACACATTGTACTCACGAAGGGAATCGAACCTTGGTCTTTGCCATGAGGAGTGCAAGCTTTTACCACTGGGCTATCATACCACATACCCATACACACAATTTGCATTGAAGCATAAATGAAGTACGCTTATACAAAGAAAACAATGTAATAGTAATGTTACATATGTGTGATTCTCGTGAAATATATCTGTTTTGCGCAACTTACGTTCATAGTTTTAACGAGAAACACTAACACTGACCCACTTAAAAAAATACTAATTTGTCATTTTTGTTCTTTTCCAGTCCCAGAAAAGCGTATGTAGAGGACAAAGTTGTTTATTCAAAGAACACGGGTAATGGAATTCGTGTTGAAGATTGCGATGAAAATACACCACTGATCTCCAGGTCGTCCAGCGTCAAGGAAATCAAAGATCCACCAGCTGACAAAAAGTTGGGAGCGAAGATTTCTTTGTTGAAAGTATTGTGGAAAACCTTAGGATTCCAAATCCTGCAGTCTCAGTTTTGGAAGCTGATCTACGATATGCTGTATATCGCAAACCCGTTGCTTTTAGGGTAAATCCTTTTTGAGTTGTTATTCCCAATTAAACTGAGCAGTTTAAAGGTTTTCTGCCTGTCGTGATACCTTCTGTTGCATCTCCTCATCCTAATAACCGTCTCCCCAAACCCCAAACGCCAAGCCCCAGACTCAACTTTCCCATCACACATCCTTCAGTCCGAAACTTTCTTAATTTTATTTCTTGAAACATCATTCGAACTGACTTTATTAATACTCAATACACATCGAAAGAGCAAGCTAAGGTGAAGACAGGATGCTGATCATGTCGGACATGAATGACATTGAGGTCATGCTGTCAACCACTGGTTTTCATAAGCAAAACTCAACTTTTTACATCTCGTTGGTATTGGTATGTTTATCACCCAAATGCAGACATTACACAACAACCCACCAACCTTTAACAAATTGTGTCTTTAAAACATATGACGATGACTTTTAACCTTCAGAGAGTTGGTGAACTTCACAGAGGACAAGACGTCGCCCGCATGGAAGGGTTACACACTTGGGATGACTCTCTTCTGTTCCATGCTCATTCAGTCGCTCACCTTCCAAGCTACGTGGCACCAATGTGTCTCCATGTCTCTCCGATTTAGATCTATAGTTATCTCGGCCATATATAGAAAGGTAGATATATATACCAAATCTCCATCACTGGTGAAATTGATACAGCAAATGCAAACCCATGCTAAACGTATCCTTCCTAATGTGAACCTTCTTTGCGACCATCTACAAATAAGAAAACATCCAAATGCCTAAACCTGTTCATTGTGAAACACTATGATCACGATTATGACGTAGAAGGATATTTAAATTTTAAGTCAGTTTTGATCATACCAATACAAATGCAAATTTAAACGGTACACAAGCGGTTGTTGTGACAAATATCCTCCGTAATACTTGTTCTTCAATAAAACCATACTAAAGTCACATCTCCATATGATACATTGGTCCTAACAATCAACACACGTTCAATTCATGAAGCCGAAAACTGTTTTTCTTAGTGTCAAAAGTGTAATAACATGTGTGCATTGTATACTTCAACTGAAGTCAGTGATCAAAAACACAGATGACACTGTGCTTATATTCACTGATATGGCAATACGAAAGGGTACTTGTTCACCTATGACAACCTTTCTGGATTAGATTGTTTTAAACACATTTTATTATCCAAAAAGACAAAGCTATTGAACACAAAGTGCACCACTTACTGTCAATTTCTCACCTTTCTGCGTATATATTTACTTTTGATGAACTTTGTCTCGTTCAAGGAGTACGCTTTAATTATATCAGCGGTTAAATGTCATTAACAATTTAGGTGGTAAGCCAGTATCCGTTACTTTTTTCCGAGTGCTTGTTGTCGTCAGAACTTGATAAATGATTAAGAAATTCACGCTTATGATGTGGTCGGAATTTTATGAATATTGAAAATATTTTGTCGGTTTTAGGTTTTATATTATTTTCAACTTTTGAGCTATAATTATTCATGAAGTTATTCATCTGTAATGTGTCCACATTTCGAAAACCTTTCAGGCTCTCACAATGAATATCGAATCTCGGCGTGAGTCTACTGTTGGCGAGATAGTAAACTTGATGTCGGTGGACGCTGAGCACATCAAGGACATGGTCCAGTGGTTCTGGGCAAGTTGGTCAAGCCTTCTTCAGATGGTCGTATCCCTGGCCCTGCTGTATAACACACTCGGGTTGTCCATGTTGGCGGGCCTAGGGTTGATGGTCATCATAATGCCTTTCAACTACTTCAACATGTCTTTGTGGGATAAGCTTCAGACCACTGTGATGGAGTTCAAGGACAAAAGGATGAAGATTATCAATGAAGTCTTTAATGGCATTAAGGTTGGTAAGGTTCTAATCACTTGTATGGGCGGGACATTCGGCAGTGGCATCGCCCTTCTGTTATGATAGCTTCGAATCTTGTGAAATAAAATTCATTTCTTGCATTGTGGAACTGAACCAAATTCACTAACTGAGTGAGTGAGTTAAAATTTAACATCACATCGGCAATATTGCAGCCATATCGTGACGAGGATTTGAATAATAAATAAAGTCGTAATCAATAAAGTCAAATTATATAAAACTGTCAACGAAGGGCATTAAAATAACTACAGGATCACAGATATTGATATAAAACTAGGATGAAAAACTAAAAACTATTAACTCTATAAGACAATACAATATAAAAACAGGCTATAGGTCGCCAACAACCGAAGGTAGATCACCATACTAGGGACCATGGGGACTTACAGTGTTTTATTAACACCATCCCTTCAGTCGCTGGCAATTGTAGGACAAGTTTAGCCGACAGTTTGAAATAACAAAAATACTACGTTTAAAAATCTGGTAAGTTTAAATTTAACTTTGAAAGTCGTTGGGACTTACGTATCAAATTCGCTAACTCACACCTTCACTTCTTCCCAATCATTCTCTGACTCACTGACTAACTCCTTCACTGATTGACTCACATTCTCACTCACTCACTCACTGACGGACTCATTCAATCACTCACTCCTTCACTGACAGACTCACTTACTCACACGCCCACTCCTTCACTAACTGACTGACTGGTTGCATGGTTGGTTTGTTGTTTAACGCCGTACTCGTGCACTATTCCAGCTATATGGCGGCGGTCTGTAAATAATCAAGTCTGGGTCGGACAATCAAATCATAAACAGCATGAGCATCGATCTACGCAATTCGTATATGATGACATGTGTCAACCAAGTCAGCGAGTCTGACCACCCGATCCCGTTAGTCACCTCTTACGACAAGCATGGGTTGCTGAAGACCAACTAAAGCCCAGATCTGACTGACTGACTCACTGGTACATCCTAAGTGCCAAGTTGTCCGACACCTAGCACTTGTGCTGGGTGCCTTAGGTTTGGAACCTCCCCATCTCTTGAGTGTAATCAGGAGAGTAAACTGGTTTGCTGCCAAGAACACATCCCTTCTGACATTCTGGATCATGCTGATGGCGATGTAATGGGGAGTCTACACATTCTCAGAAAGGTTCTTGGTCAGTTCGACAAGGCAGCGTGAATTAGTAGTAGGGACAACGGACCTGAGCTGATGATGAGCCTGACCAATCTGATTGTTTCTGGGTTCCGGGTTCACCGAATCCCCTTCCCTGCTTTTATATGTTTAATCTGTATAATATCAATGCTAAAACAATATGACATATACAATATATATCACATTTTTACCTTGCACATGGAACAGTATTACAGTTACATCATCACGTTTCATTATGATTTGACGTTAAAGCCCGAAATAATGCAGGTCTTAGAAGCTCACCCTGGACAACCCCACGAACAAAGTTAGTCGGCTCTGAATGTCTCAGAAACATGATTTAATATCAAGACAAACCCAGTACTACATGTGGGGCATGCTAATCATACAGTTGGGAATGAACACTGATCCTTCGACGTGGATAATAATGTGAAGCTCTTTTGTTGATTGTTTTGAACAATTGCCATTTCGAGTGTGTACTAGCTGTGGTTAAAACCTACGCTGATCACGCCAAAGGCCCAGGTTCGATTACAGACGTGGATGAAATGTGTGAAGACCATTTCTGGTCTCGCCTGCCGGGGGATTAAATATCGATAAAACGGAGTAAAACTATACTCACTCACCAATGAATAACGATCATTGCTTACAGATTCTCAAACTGTACGCCTGGGAACCCTCCTTCCAGGAGAAAATCACAGATGTTCGAGAGAAAGAACTTAAGGGTCTTTGGAAGATCTCAATACTTCATGCGCTGATGATGTTTGTTTTCATTGTGGCTCCATATCTAGTAAGTACATTCACGCTCTGTTTATTATTTAAATCACTTCAATGATAACAGTATTGAGCAGGGCCGAGACCATGTTTCGGTGCCCCTGGAATTAGTTTGGTCGCATGCTCAATAAATTTCTGTTGACGAGCGTTGATATATTTGATTTAAAAAAAACACGGAGGTGAGATTCTATTTCTCAACCAACATCATTTTGTATTTGTTTAGTTCGTAGACAGTATGTTCAGTATATTGAGTCTGAAATGGGCAGCTTAGCAGAGCCTGTTGCTTCGGGGCTTTTAAAGCCATTTAATTGTGCCATGGTCGTAAAATTCCAATGTAACGTTATATATTAGGAAAGGTCGTTGGTTTTACCCAACTATATCTCTCGTGAGGACCAACTTGGCATGGTGATTATATCACTCATCCTTATGTGAATTTAGATACAGTAAACTACGGTATAAGAAACTCTAATGTAAATGTACTTTAGTTCGTTATAACCGTAATTCGTTATATGCATAACGAACAAGATGTGCAGTGTCTGGGACAAGAAAATAAGTTCGTTATAACCGTATGTTCGTTATATGCGTCTTCGACATTTTGGGATAATATTATGTTCGCTGCAGAGGTATGGATTACCGGATGCCTATTCAGACACCGAATTCTGAATAAATAACATGGATATAATGTCATTTCAGGTGACCTTGGTGACCTTCCTGACGTATATCTACACAGCTGAAAGTCACTACCTCAGCCCAAAGACAGCCTTTGTGGCAGTAGCCCTCCTAAACAATCTTAGATTTGCGATGCTTGTCCTACCAGAAATAACAGCTGACTTTGTGAGGGTAGGTTGTGTTTTATACTTTTTAACACTGATCACAAAAACATTCTATATATGAAGGTCTAACTTCATAGGGTTCAGGTGGGGCAGATGGCTCAGCCAGGGAACAAAAATGGAAGGACGTTATTAATAAAACCGTGATATTATAGATAAAACGTGTCTATATTCATGACGTACATTGGTGAGTTGCAATTATTAGTCAACATATAGGTATTAACTGGCAGTATCTAAGACTTGCATCATCACCATTTCATTGTCATCGACGAACGCATTTTCATGAAACAGTCAGTACTGTAATGTGCCTTTGTGAAAGACGAAATCTATATATATATATATAAATATATATATATATATACGTGCACAATATATATAAAATATATATATATATATACGCGCACAAAATGTCCAAAATAGTACAGGTGTTCAGGCATAAATATTTCATAGATAAATAAAAACAGAATGCCTTTTTCTCCATCATGTTTCGTTCTTTACTCTTCAGGGAGATTGTAGCGGTTACAGTATCAGTATATGTGTGTGTGTGTGTGTGTGTGTGTGTGTGTGTGTGTGTGTGTGTGTGTGTGTGTGTGTGTGCGCGTGCGTGCGTGCGTGCGTGCGTGCGTGCGTGCGTGCGTGCGTCGCTCTTATTTACTCACTATAGTAACGTCCTCTTGCTCATTGTCGGTATCCGTGAAGATCCGGGTTAGATTTGGTTTCCAGCAGCCCATGCTTGTCGGGTGGTCAGACTCACTAACTTGGTTGACACATGGTATCGTATTTTAAATGCGCAGATCGATGCTCATGATGTTGATCACAGCCGCGGTATATAACTGGAATACGATCGGGTTTAAAAACAAACAAGCCTTGTCGGTTGAATTAGTCGTGTCCTATACATTTTATAACTTGTGTTACAGGCAAATGTTTCTGTGAAGAGGATTGAAAAGTATCTAAACAGCGGTGATTTAGATGTCAACAGTGTCCAGAGAGCGACCAGCCATGGTAAAAACCTTACCTCCATATGCTGTGTTTCATCAAAAGATAATTATCCTTAATGTATTTATTGTTTAGATATTCAACCTTATTATTTTACTCACAATAAGAGAGGGTTAAGCTGATGTAATTGTCCCATATTGGTGTGTTATTTCTTTAAATCTCCCTGATCTGAAACTGGGCCATTGAGTCACTTATGATTTTGAACAGCCCAAACCCGCAGTACACAAAATGCTATATAGTACGATGATATGTCCGACATACTTACACCCGTGAAGATCCGGGTAAGAATTGATCTTCAGTAACCCATGCTTGTCGTAATAGGCGACTAACGGGATTGGGTGGTCAGGCTTGCTGACCTGGTTGACACATGTCATCGTATCCTAATTGCTGTCGATCACTGGATTGTCTGGTCCAGACTCGATCATATACAAACCGTCGTCATATAGCTGGAATACTGCTGAGTGCGGCGTTAAACAACAACCCACTAACCGAGATACTTACGATGTGCTTAATGTCAAGATCAATTCAACCCTAGTAATTGTTCCGTCTTGGTGACTCTGGGAAAGACAATCCATCCCTCCATCCCCAGAACCCGTTAAGATCAGGGTTAGAATTTGTCTTCAGCAACCCATGCTTTGCTAACAGGATCGGGAGGTCAGGTTCGCTGACTTGGTTGACACATGTCATCATATCCCAGATCAATGCTTATGCTGTTGATCACTGAATTGCCTGGGCCAACTCGATTATTTACAGACCGCCGCCATATAGTTGGAATATTGCTGGGTGCGGCCCTATTCAATAAGAAAGTACACACCCGGAGCTGACTACAAGTCTGGCTTAGGTGGGTATGTGTTGTAGCGACCACATATAACCTTTTAGGGTCGGTGGGGTATCCTCCTGGTTAAAGCGTTCGAAGACCTGAAGACCCGGGTTCGATTCCCCACATGGGTACAATGTGTGAAGCCCATTTCTAGTGTCCCTCACAGTGATATTGCTGGAATGTTGCTAAAAGCGGCGTAAAACTAACGCATTCACTCACTCACATACATCTTTGCTCATACAGTCATGCGTTGGTTTGCCTATTTTCAATTATCGGACTATGGCGTAAAACGACATTCACTCACTTATTCTAACGCATGTAGAGACAATATAGTAGCGCGTCTCAGGAGGTGTGTTCATTTATTACCTGAATGGGATACCGCTTATACACGAAGAATCACGGATATATTCTATATCAAATATTGTTCTCGTTGATGTTCCTGTTCAGATACCGCAGTGTCTGTCACTGATGCTACTTTCGAATGGAACCAAGAGATGGGACCAGCTTTGACAGAGTAAGTATCTCAAACAGCGGAAACTCAAGCCAATGTGTCCGACATTATATCTCGATCATCGTAGTTCGAGATATTGAGTGCCAAACTGTTCGTTCTCCGGAAACTCGTTTGTCGTAAATGATCATCACACCGTGTAAAGACGCATATTGTTGAGATAGATTCACTTTAACGATGAGTTGACGACCATTGAAAACAACAAGTCCGGATTATATTCCCATGAAGCAACTGATGTGATATGCTCGATATTCGTAGTCGACGTTAAGACAGAAAAATGGAAATGCATTTACCTTCAACAATACAAATCATCATAAACAAATGTAAAATTCTGATGAACCCGAACGTCACGTGAGAGACCGCCATGGGCGCCTAGCAACCAGAGTTGCTCGGAGTCTAACAGGGTTATCACCCGGATCCTTATTCTTCGCATGCCCAGAGTCATTTGAAAGTCACACAGGCAATACCTCAGCCGCTGAGTGACGAACATGACCAGTTGATATCACCACCTTGTCCGGAACCAGATCCTAGAGGGTGTGGCGATCGGTGTCCAAATTACCCTTATTTCAGATAATGGATATATTTCAAGAATTTTCTGTACCTTGTCTTCAGCACCTGAAACAATATGCTATTTCCTCCAATTCTATATATCTTTTACCAGTATCAATCTGAATGTTAAGACTGGGCAGCTGGTGGCCGTTGTGGGTCAGGTTGGTGCGGGGAAATCGTCTCTCATCTCAGCAATGTTTGGTGAGATGCACAAACACAAAGGACGAGTGTGTCTTGAGGTATGGCTACCTGCATATAGTAAGTGAGAGAGTTTAGTTTTACGCCGCTTTTAACGATATTCCAGCAATATCAAGACGGAGGAATACAACAATGGGCTTTCTACCCCGTGAAGAGCGAACGCTTTGACCATTAGGCTACCCCACCGCCCCATGCATATAGGGAACAGGTTTCCACAATTGTAACAAACGTTTTGAAGCGAAGTAAAGTCGATTTTGATTTTTTTTTTCATTTATAACAGATTTTCTGTCCTCCTCAGAGATTCCAAATTTGATTCATAATACTTTGTCATTGTAAACATTATTTACTTAACTGCTGGAATTCTGATATTCTGAATGAAGTTCAAATGAAACATTACGCTACCAACAGGGAACAACTGCCTATGTACCTCAACAAGCCTGGATCCAGAACGACACCCTGCAGAACAACATCCTGTTCGGGAAGCCAATGAACAGACAGCGGTATAACGAGGTGGTTGAGTGCTGTGCCCTGACTCCAGACCTGGAGATGTTGCCGGGCGGGGACCTGACGGAAATAGGAGAGAGGGTACTGTATATTTACAAATATATATCCACTACAAGTCTGAGTTCTAAGGTTGTAATCAATGCAACGTACGCAACTGGGACATTGTATTTGATTCTATTAAACTTTATTCTACGTCTGCTTGGTCGATGTACAGTTGACAACGAACTTGCTAGGACTGGAAATATTAAAAACATTTTAGTACCCCATTGCACATTTTTGTATAAACTTTGGTTATCTTTTTGCCTTTGATTCAGCTGTGTCTTAAATTCGTTTCGACTTCCCACAAATGTTAACCCTCAATCCAACCAAAGGAAGCAAAAACATTCCCAGGATTTGAAGAAAACAAATGGGATGACAATACCATAAAGTCCTTGGATGACTGATAAAAAATGTTTCTGAGCCGAATGGCTTGTTATCAGACATACAACGCCAGTGCAAAAGAATAACCCGTCATGACTATCTTCGGAAACAAATTCTGTTTGGAAAAAATAGCTGTGAAAATTGTTATGAATGGATCACTGAACATCAGTGATGACACCAGGTGTTTGCGAAAAGGATAAGCATGTCCTGTCCTACCAGTAACATCTGTTATTCACTAAATTTTCCTAAAAATGTATGTTTGGCTTGACGCTACATAGCAGTAATCCTGCCATGCGACGGCATGAGCTGGACAATGATTTACATTTATATTAAATGTGTATTCTGTCCTATGATCTATTGGATTTTGATATACTGCTCTGAATTTGCAGCCTGTTTGTGCCTGTGTAAATGTTTAACCCCAACATTGGTAAGATGGTACATTTTCTTGTAAATTGTACAATAATTAATTTGAAGGAATTATTTTTTGCTAAAACTTATGTTACTAACACCGTTATCAAGCAAGCGAAGTTGAATAGATGATCAAATTGTATTCATTGGTTTCAGATAATATTTGCATTAAACATTAGGGAAAGCATATGGGAAAGTGGTCAGAATACCTGTATAACTCTGCTCTCGAAATGTCACCATGGCATCATAAGTTATTTTGCTATTTGTAAATGTTAGTGTGAAACAGTTGGGCAGAATAGACACAAGGAGTGCCGCAGCGTGGGAACAATTTAGAACAAAACGCCCTTCTTTCCTGAAAACGGTATCAACTTGAGTGGAGGACAGAAGCAGAGAGGGTCCCTAGCCAATGCTGTCTACTATGTCTTGTGTGTTGAATCCGTTTCCTATCTTGTCACCAGGGTATCAACTTGAGTGGAGGACAGAAGCAGAGAGGGTCCCTAGCCAGTGCTGTCTACTATGCCTTGTGTGTTGAATCCGTTTCCTATCTTGTCACCAGGGTATCAACTTGAGTGGAGGACAGAAGCAGAGAGTGTCTCTGGCCAGAGCTGTCTACAACGATGCTGACATATATCTGCTGGATGATCCGCTCAGTGCTGTCGATAGTCATGTGGGAAAACATATATTTGATAAGCTCATTTGTAGCAAGGGACTGCTTGGTAACAAGGTATTTTTTCGATAGCCTTCCATATCTGTAAATATGTTAAACGTCTTTATTGGTCAGATTTACTGAATGGATATTCTTGTCTCAGTAAAACGAAGTTTGTATGATTTACATAGACCCGCGTCTTGGTCACTCATGGCATTCACTGGCTCCCAGAGGTGGACTCCATCCTTGTGATGACCAGTGGTCAGATATCAGAGACAGGGACGTATGAGGAGCTGCTCCAACATAACGGACCCTTTGCCCAGTTCCTGCAAAATTACCTCCTTGACAGCAAGGATGACAATGATGATGATCCAGAAGGTAAGGCCATATCAACCACTTGGACTACAAAAACACCCAAATCCTATGTTGTGTTAATCCTAGCTCACTCGTCATTCATAACTTATTTAGTGTAACGCTCCCCATGTTAGAATATATTTTATATTTCCTTGATGTCTCAATCTTTGGCTAAAAACACTATAAAAGTATGTTTCCATTAATTTTTGCTTGGTATGTTATGTCGATGGTTATATTCGGTTATTATGTTGGTTGTAAGCAAATTGTCTTCTAAAATAACCTTCCTGCTCAGAGTTGGAGATGAAGCGCAAGGTGCTTCAAAGACTCGAGTCTGTAACATCAGAAGAGGATACTGAAGGTGGAGCAAGAAGAGCTCGGATGTGAGTAGATCATTGACGTGGGACCAGAAAACGAATTTGCTGGAACTCGAAGTTTTAATACACACTCGTCACACATTTCTTATTATTACCCACGTGGTCAACGTATGGGTAGTTGCATACGAATCTTGTAAGTCACACGAGTGTCGTATCGCGTTGACCTGTGTGGTAACGACTTGACCTGAGATTCTAACTATTTGATTGGATAACCGATGACCTCTCAATTAGGGCACGTTGTGACGGAACTACTTTTTCATTCATAACAAACACGTGAATTCATTCATTATACAATTTATATGCATTGTGAGAACGTAAACATTGCAAACGTTGCCGTATCGGTGTTTAATTGTGAGTCGAACTGAGACATGTATGCGTCGCAAAACATAAACGCAAAGTTTCCACAAGTGAGGTTAGCCGAGTGAAGCAAATGCAAACTAAGAAACGGGGTGCTACGGAGTAGTTTAATGTAGGATGCTGTACCAGGCGATGACAACTGACATGCATCGTGACGTCGGTTACCAAGGGGGCAGACGAGCAAGGCGTAGTGACATCATTACAGAGTGACGTCATGCAAAACGTGTACTACAGAACAACATTATTCCGCAACCTCTTGAAGAAACCGGTTTCGGTTTGAAACCATAACTATGCCAAAACTACGCTATTTTGTCAATTTAATGCATGTAAGAAGTGGGTAATAAATAAAATACCACACTCGGTAACATAACATACGAATTATACGAACCTCGCTTTCGCTCGGTCAGATACCATAGGAAGGACACTCGTTTCGTATAATTCGTATGTTATGAGACCTCGTGTAGTATTCTCTATTTACGCTTTGGTTCTCTGTTCGACTTTGGTTCCCATCTATATCTGTGATCTTATGATGATGGTGATCCTGAAAACAATGCAACTGTCTATATTGAGAACATACCGAAGAGTTTGTGGATTGCCATTAGCTTTCCCTTTGAACAGACCTACTCAGAAACATAGTAGTGAAAACCACGCGCTGTACATATTAGGCGGGGCGATGGGGTAGCCTAGTTGTTAAAGCGTTCGCTCGTCACGCCGAAGACCCGGGTTCGATTCCCCACATGTGTGAAGCCATTTCTGGTGTCCCCCGCCGTGATATTGCTGGAATATTTCTAAAAGCGGCGTAAAAACCATACTCACTCACTCGTATACAAGGCATGATACTATTCTTTTTGGCAGTAAAATATGCGAAAAGGGATCGATATTGTAATGAATTTTGTGGGATTTTTCAACCAGAAATATTAATAAAATGGATTCAAGGATACGAGAGGCAACTTACGCACATAAAACCTACATTTAAAACACTTACGTGCAAACACTGTTCCTTCGAAAATTGGGTTACTGTATGAGATTGCGAAGCAATGGAAAGGCATATCGATTACGCCTAAATAAATTAAGATCTGTTATGAACGATGTAGAACTTGTTGGATAACTGTATATTGTAGCAAATCACTCACAGAATCACTGGAGAAGAGCCATGAAATGAAGAAAGGAAAAATGGCTATAAAGGAGGATGTTACACAAGAAAGCAAGTTGGTGGAGGAGGAGAAGGTTGAGGAAGGGAAGGTGAGTCTGAATCATTGATTTATTAAATAAGAAATTCGCCACCTGCGAAGCATGTCGAGGCTCATGGTGAGAAGCAGTCAACAGCAAAGTGAGTGAGTGATTTTAGTTTTAGGAATATTCCAGCTATATGGCGGCTAAACAGCAAAGGATGTTGGACATAATTTCAATGTCAGTGTTAATTTCTTAAACTCTGGGTAATTCAGAAGGCTGAAATGTTTGGGAGTCTACACATTCTCCGAAACGTTCTTGGTGCATAGCGTATTTGGAGTTTTATTCACTGTCTGGGCTGAGCGTTGATGAGGGACAAGGGACCTCAGCTGATGTTGAGGCTAACCAGCCTGACTGTGCCAGGACGACCCGAAACCTCCTTCCTGTATATTAATATCTTAATTTCTAAATGATAATGATGTTGTTGGTGGTGATGATGATGATGATGATGATGATGATGATGATGATCCTTGTCAAGGTACCATGGCGTGTGTATGGTCTCTATGCCCGAGCAGTTGGAGTTGGCTTCGTGATATTTGGTTTCCTTCTATACGTCCTCTACCAAGCTGCGTCAGTAACGTCTAGCATATGGTTGAGTCAGTGGACGGACAGCCCTGACCTCAGCAACCTGACGCTCTATCCTGCAAACAGCTCCCAGAGGCTTGACAAGAACAACTATTACCTTGGAATTTACGGAGCGTTCGGTGTGTTGCAAGGTAAATATACACCCAACTCACCTCAGTATTGGTCAGTTGTCTCCCTTGATAGAAGGTCAAGTAAAGCTTTCAATATTCAGAGGCATACGACCAGAGCCCCGACAATCTGACCTATTCTCCATACAGCTCCCAAATACTTCACCTGTTCGGTTTAAGTACTAGATATAGTGTCGGACATATGGTGGTGTATATACCACTACGATAGTGGCCAACAGTCTCCATTTGACTGTAAATGTCACAGTCAAGAGCATAAAGCTCAGACTGACCAGAGAAGGGGATCGATTACCTTAACTCGGGTTATGAATTCAACACATGAATATGGTGAGCAAATATATCAGTTAATAGGGATGAATCTGTGTTAAGAAACAGTCACAAGCCTGGATTGGATCATCACTGACATCTGCGGAGTGGTCAGACTAAACGTTTTATGAAAAGTCTTTTAGATTCAAATATATATTTAGTCGAACTAGCCTCAAGATACATGCATTCGAGGTACAGGTTATTTGAACTATTTGAAAGATTCCAACCTCGAGTGATGGTACCATCAGAGGAAACAATTACTGCAGGTGCCAAAAGGGAAGTATGACCCTACGTTCATCTCCCGAGTGAGTTCATCTGTTGTCACTGTGGCAAAAATCACCACTCTAGGGATATCCTCATATTATTCCAATGGTTAACATGATTCCAAAGTAGGATCTGAAGTGTAAAAACTGCAATGACAAATGTAAATTTCAGAAACTTATTATTTCTAAAACAATCATTTGTGCAAACATATTTTCATCTGTCTGGCATTTTTGTTACATAAATCTGATTTTTTTAAAGAAATGTCATAAACTCATTCTGTGCATCTAGTCCTCAATGTAAACTACGTAAAGTATTACTTCAAACTATCTCATCAAGATCTTCCCAGCGATGTTAATCATCATCTATCAGAACTCCATCAGTAATTTCAAGTTCGGATAATACACTACACCGTGGAGGAAAAAAGGAACATAATATCATTATGCACTTTCTCATATTTAGACTAACGCACAAGTCACCCTGTTATACGCAGTTATATGTAGGCCTGACGTCACACTTCCAGCTGCGGCCATGCTGACCTTCACCTTCATGTGGGGTTTCCGGTGTGTTCACGCGGCACGTGTTCTCCACAGCGGAATGCTGGCAAATGTACTGAAAGCGCCCATGTCCTTCTTTGACACAACACCAACGGGTCGGATCGCCAACAGGTTCTCTCAGGACATTGAAGCTATTGACACACGCATATCCCACGTGATAGAAGTTGTATTTAACACGTTGCTGATGGTACTCAGCTGTGTGATTGTCATCAGCTACAGCACACCGATATTCCTGGCCGTCGTTGTCCCGCTCTTCATCCTCTACTACTTCATCCTGGTACGCTGAGTGAGTGAGTGAGTTTAGTTTTACGCCTCACTCAGCAATATCCCAGCTATTTGGCGGCGGTCTGTAAATAATCGAGTCTGGATGCATGATCATCGATCAAAGCAATTGGGAACCGATGACATGTGTCAACGCAGTCAGCGAGCCTGACCACCCGATCCCGTTAGTCGCCTCTTACGACAAGCATGGGTTACTGAAGACCAATTCCAACCCGGATCTTCACGTGTTGGTAGGCAGAGAACATCCTCAGCACTCTGGGGCCAATATTACTTGCGTATCGATTTTCCTTTTCTCGAAATAAATGTCAGTTAAAGCTGGAATTAAACCCATCTTAAAATGGGTATTATAGGTCACATAAATTAAAGACAACACAATTTTTAATTTAAAGTTCTGTCAATGTTTTTAGTCTCTCTAATTGACCCACTTTGTAGTTGTTCATTATTGAAAGTGGTTACATTCGTCAGGGGACCAGAACGGAGTGATGTTGTTCTTTAGGTAATTCAGTATTATCCGATTTGGCTTCATCTTGATGACTGGTTAAAAATACGATCCGAGTTAGGTGTTAGGGGTATTAAGTCATCCCTATGTTGTTAATTATGTTTTGAATGGGCTATGTAACCACAGACATTACTTCACTCACATATAAACAGGTGTTCTACATCGGCACATCACGGCAGCTTAAACGGATTGAGTCTAAGACCCGTTCCCCTATATACAGCCATTTTGGGGAGACACTATCGGGGGCAAGCGTCATCCGGGCATTTAAAGCACAGTCCAGATTTATCAAGGCATCAGAGGACAGAGTAGACAAGAACCAGCGCTTTAGCTACTATTCTTTTTCGGCTCAGCGGTAGGTTATTTCAACAAACATGAAGGTAATATGCACACTTGAAACGTCAGTTCAGACTCATCATTGATGATCATTTCATTTGCTTCTCATGAGAAGGAATAACGTTATTGTGGCAACATGAAGTTAGACACGGATAGGGGATTGGGGATTCGAATCCCGAACGTGAACAAAAAATTCAGATTCGGAATTCGAATCCCCAATCCCGAATCCGTTTCTAACTTCATGTTGCTCGTAATTGTGACCTTTGTTCATCCCAGTTGATGACATATTTTCACGAAAACGTGAAACGATATTTAATATTGAGTACTTGAAGGAATCTTACACCTATTTGAACAATGTTCCAGTTAAAACATGGAGCGTCAGCTTAATAACACTCAAAACCAGGCTTAGGAGCTTGATAACTTGCAAGAAAACCCTTTCCATATCCATAAGGAACCCCTGCCAAAAGAAGAGTAGAAACACAGGATGACTGGAACGGTGCTAACTAACCAGGGCCCCGTTTCACAAAGCTCTCGTGGGCCTAAGATCTCGTAACATAGGGAGTACAAATGCTACGAGAAACGTTACGAGATCTTAGGCTTACGAGAGTTTTGTGAAACGGGGCCAAGGTCCCCGATCCACAAAGCGTTCGTAAAGTTACGATCTGTCGTAGTAACTCTATATTTAATCATTGGCTTACGAATGTCGTAGCGCTAAGAACGCTTTGTGGATCGGGGTCCTGGGCCCCGGTCCAGAAAGCGTTCGTGATGTGACGACCTATGATAGATAGTACAAATCTACACTATGTCATTGGCTTACGAATGACGGAGTGCTACTTTTTTGGATAGGGTCCCTGATACATAAGCACGGTAAATCTCGGAATCAAACCTACGATCATCGAAGACAGCTCTTCTCGTCGAAATTTCTACAACGGGGTCATTTGTATACCCGGAAAAAGCTTATGATAGCTAATACATTCAATTAATCTGGTAGTCTTGACATGGAGCTACTATTTTTCTAACTACGATGATTTCACAACATACAATTTTATCCACAGATGGCTTGCGTTTCGTCTAGAGCTGATGGGCAATGTCATAGTGCTCGCCGCCTCCATGTTTGCTGTGGCGTCACGTGACTCTCTCTCAGGAGGCATTGTGGGTCTGTCGGTGTCATATGCTTTGCAGGTATTCAAATTCATCGAAAGGGTATAATATGTTCGTTAGAAGAGTATCAGAACATGTTTTTGATAAGAAAATGAAACATGTCAGTCTCGAAACAAGAGTTCGCATGACTTGTTAGGGAGGAGATCTGATTATTTAAAGCAAATGCCAACATAACGCTAATATAACTTGTAGCATGTTACAGTGAAATAAGTACCTGGACTACTCTCTCATTGTGTTGGTCATTTCTATGCGACAACTTTGCAAAAGACATCATTATTTTTGCTCTGTACTTATTGATAAAATACCGTCTTCATCTCAAAATAATTTATACGTTACTCCAAAACATAGACATTGATGTTATTTTTTTTACTGAGCGAGTTAAAATGTAAAACTTTGGTATTCTAACGTAATCAGTAAGGAAATAGTACTCTTCCCAATGAAATATTCACTCGAGGAATAAGCACCTCATTTGACAGATACCAAATAGCCTCTGTGTTATATTTTCAAATGGCATACAACATTGCGATAAAAGAGGCATGGATGTAGGAGATTCAACACTCAAAGCAAAAGTATTCAACATTCTTGACATCTTACTTAATTACTTAATTCATTAAATGATAATAAATATAAAATGGCTTTACCGATCGAGAAGTCGTCTAACTAAGTCGTCTAAGACCAAAAAACATTAAGACAGACAAAATGTGTTTTGGTGTTCAAACATGTTACACGACAATTAGTTTCATCTCCCTTAAAACGATTGCACATATCAAAATAGGGAATCAAAAAAAGCAGACAAGAAAATTATGAAATACAGAGACAATCAGTTATCTTGTATATAAAGAAAGCCTACGCAAGAGGATTAGGCTATAGCTTTTGCATCATTATAGACAGAAAATAGGAAGTTTGGGTCTTGGGCTTGATAAATGCGCATCGATTGAATTTTGTTGAGTTCCAATGGAGTGGAGTTCTGACACCCATTATACACTCATCGTTAAACGGTAGCGTGTGATATAAACAGACAGAAACACACGTATTTCTGGAGGCAATGACAATTAATGGCATGGTAATAAAGGTTACATAAATAGTTAACGGACCCGTTAAGATCTGGATTGAAAGGCGGTCTTCGGGGACCCTTCTGAAGATCAATTTTAACCCAGGGCCCTTATTCTCGAAACGTTCGTAGCCCTAAGAATTCTTAACTTTGATCGTAGCCAATGTGTTAAGAATGGGCTTAAGAAGTTCGTAGGGCTACGAACGTTTCGAGAATAGCTAGCCAGATCTTCAGGGTATATATAATGAAATATTCTATTAGAGCATTTCCAAAATCAGATTCAGTGATAGATAGAGAATCTCACCCAAGTGTCTACTGATATCAATTATATCAACACGAGTTGATAAAGTGACAAATATCCGAGGCTTGCCGATGATAAATATCATGTTTTCTTTTATCAACGAGTGTTGATATGTTTGATATCAGAAGACACGAGGGGGATTCTATTTATCATAAAAAATCACTCTTCATTAGTTTTCAATGAAAAAAGTACATCTCTGAACACGGCACTGCCATAGCATTGTGACGTCATCAAATTTTGATGTCACAGCACTGTTAGTCATGTACATGGCACTGTACAATTTCTACTGTCAAAACGATATTTCCTAGGAGATATCACACAAGCAATATCTCCAGTGGAACATAGTTTTGGATGATAGCGTAAGTTTCGTTTAACGTCACTGTTAGGTGTTTCAAAGGTGTTTCATTCCTGGTAGGCTAGGAAAGCCCGAAGCGGTGGCAATCCCCTGACACCCACGAGCATCAGTAAGGAAAATTAAGTATAGGTTTTAACACATGTTTCTGTTCTTAGATAACTGGCAACCTCAACTGGCTGGTGCGAATGGTATCTGACGTGGAGACCCAAGTGGTGTCGGTAGAGAGGGTGGACCAGTACAGTCACATAGAGTCCGAGGTATGCAATGCCTGGGGAAGCAAACTTTAGTCTGCGATTTTAATCAAATTTGAGAAAGACTCCGGAGAATAGATTTCTCGAAAGAACCTGAGTTCGATTTTGGACACAAACTGAGTAAAGAAATTGAGTTTGATAAGGAAATTACTTAGCATTTTTTTGTAAACCAATATGGCTCTGATTAACGAGCAAAGACGCCTTTGGGTGAACCGCGAATCCACGTTGTCAAGGAAATCACTTAACAGACACAACCCTGTCACCCGAGGAACTCTTTGTACGGTTCTGTTTCCATTTGCTTTCGAGAAACTTTAACAGTGAATGAGTTAAGCCTAAAAACGCATTTCAGTAACTCGAGGTCACGATGTTGTTGACATACGGGCTATATTTTCTGGGAATCTGCGGCACGAATCCAGTGCCTGCGGATCCTGCCCGCGGCACCCAATCCTTTGATATCCTTTGCCTCTAATCTTATTTTACTGCATTATCAACAGCATAATCAAGCCGTTTAATGGTCGTAAATGTCTATGATAAAATACACAAAACAATCAATAGATAATTCAAGAATCGCGTGGTATAGTGAGCTATTTCTGTGCCGTAATGTGTAACTACATACCATATCCAGTATTCTTTGATTGGAAACAATAGACCCCTTTGCTCCAGCATGTCCAACAGTTCAGCTGAGAATGACAAAGACAAGCCGAAGATTAAACCTCTTTTTCCTTACAAGGCCGAGTGGAGCCTACCCGACCGACGGCAAGATGCCGGATGGCCGCAGCAGGGTGTTGTGAGGTTCCTGGACTATTCCACCCGGTACAGACAGGGACTGGACCTGGTTCTTAAGGGGATAACCTGTACTGTCAACTCCGGGGAGAAGGTGGGTGTGGTTCATAGTCTCCTTGTTCATGTGGTAAAATAGATGAGATAGTCATTAAGATAACCAGGAAAAGGTGGGATATGATGAATGACTGCCTACACTTGAAGATCCTCATGAAAGCGCTGCCCACACTTCAGGTCTGCGTGGCGATGTTCGTTCGACTGGAGTAAAATGTTCCTGTATTTTGTGCCCATGAAGATCCCGATATTGGTCTTCACCAACCCATGCTTGTCGTACGAACGGGATCGACTAACGGGATCGGGTGGCCAGGCTCACTGACTTGGTTGACACATGTCATCATATCCCAAACTGCGCAGTTTGATGGCCATGCTGTTAATCACCTTATTGTGTTGTCCAGAGTCGATTTTTACACAAAGCCGCCAAAACATTTGAATACTGCTGAGTGCGACGTTATTCAACAACCAACCAATCCTATATTACTCAAGGTAGACAAATTAACAAACAATTTTTGCACTTTTTTGTCTCTGATGTTCCTGGCAGAAGTAGAACTAATATCTTACAATGGACAAGTGTCAATATTTCATGCAGTTAATAATGATCGCTTGTTGGCATGATTTCACATGCTTTACATAAAAATAACTGCAGTGTTTCAAGACCTGAAGTAAGTAATGTAGTTCATTGGGTTGCATCCCAGGTCGGTATCGTGGGCAGGACGGGAGCTGGGAAATCTTCTCTGACTCTGTCCCTGTTCCGGCTGATAGAAGCTGCAGGCGGGGAGATCAACATAGATGGCGTTGACGTCAGTACACTCGGACTGCATGACCTCAGGAGCAAACTCACCATTCTACCTCAGGTAGGCCTGCATGACCTCAGGAACAAACTCACCATACTACCTCAGGTGATTCCTGTTACAGACAGACGGACAGACAGACAGACACTTTACATGTATTCGGTAATATACGGCCTTATGGCCCATTACAGTTAGTATATAATGTATTTATAATGTCACGTGAGCACAAATTAAAGTAATTGTCTGGCAATAAATATATGTTTTAACAATGTTGCAACTGCATGTATAACAAGAGGATTTTGAGGGTTTAATAAATTTACCATTAACATATTGCTTTTATGGACATGTTTGATATGTGGAAGATATTTCTCTCTCAGATCTTTATATTTATCACAAACTAATAATAAATGAAATTCATCGTCAATAAAGCCCAATTTACAGTTTGCACATTTCATTAGATCAATATCGTCCTGTTTATGCCTTCTAGAAAAATTGACATTAAAATTGTGAAGGGAAAGTCTAAATTTACACATGACTCTTATCAAATGCTTATTTTCTAATGATGTCAAATATTTGTCTGGTTCTATAGCTGACTTAATCGAATTATAATGACATAAAAAGGATGAAGATGACATACTTTTGTGCCAGATTAGATAATACATATCTTGTAATCTTTGTTTTAATGAAAATAGAAATAACTCTTCATCACCAAAGTCTTGCGCAATCCAAACAAAATACCCACAAGTAAAAAGCAAAGATCTAACATTTGAAACCCATTTACAACTGGTCTTACCGTTATCATCAAGAGTTTTTAATAAGTTATAGCATTGATGAGGATATCGTTGTCGTTCCATCTTTACTAACTTACACCAATATTTAACCACACTAACTTGGCTGAGAATGAAAAGAGGGTAACGCCCTGTATCGCCTAAAATGGCCTTATTTGAAGCAAACTTCCCAACCCATAAAGAGCGTGTAAAATAAGATGATTGAACTTTCTCTATTGCCTCATTATACTTAGTGCCCCATATCTCTGCACCATATAACAAAATCGGTGCAATTTTACCATCAAAACTAGAACATGCTGTAGAAGATGGAACATTTACCAGTTTTTAAAAAAAATGTATATACTGGAATAACCGCTTTAAAGGCTTGACATGCTAATTGTTTACAAGATACTGACCATGATAATCTAGAAGATATAACTAGTCCTAAATATTTATAATATGTCTCAATTTCTAAAGGAACATATGCCCAGTGTTCGTGTTTAGCAATTTTACCTCCATTTCTGAATACAATGACATTTGTATTTGTTAGTTAACTTCTGAACCCCATTTCTTGCAAAAGGAAGACAGTACATTTAAATGTTTCTACAGGCCATAAACAGTATATGAACATATGATAACATCATCAGCAAAACGAAGTATCATTAAATCAACAATATCCTGTGTCACAAATACACCATAACTACACTCATTATATACTTCTGTTACACGTTCATTAATGAAAAAGATAAATATGGCTGGGCTTAATGTGCAACCCTGTCTCACACCACTAGAAGTGGAAAAACTTTCTGTCCTACCAGATGAACTTTTAACACAAGTCTTTACAGAAGAATACATATTTCTAATGACATTAAATAATTTACCATTCCTGTTACCAACATTTCCGTCATGGTTGTTGTCAGAAGGTGACCGAGCGTATATGATGGCAATAAGCTTGTGAAGGGGGTCATAACAAGTACATGAACTAACAGTTCCTAACACATACATTCTGCATAATCTAGGTGGAGTTGCTTGATAAAAAGAACCACACTAGCTCAAGTCAGATGCTGGTGTCGCCTTATGTCATTCATGGCAACCCGTTAGTTGGAAGCATTTCCAAATGTTTCCCTCATGTTTTCGTGGTTGTTGTACACCTGTTTATGACCCGTAAAGATCCAGGTTAGAATTGGTCTTCAGCAACCCATGCTTGCCGCAAGAGGCGACTAACCCTTATCGGGTGGTCAGATTCTCTGACTTGGTTAACACTTGTCATCGTATCCAAATAGCGTAGATCGATGATCATGATGTTGATCACTGGATATCGATCGTCTGGTCCAGACTCGATTATTTACAGACTGCCACCATGTAGACGGAATGTTGCTGAGGGCGGTAACAAACAAACAAAGCAAAGTCTTTCAAGGAAACTCTTCTGTCTTCGTAGATGGATTTTTATCTATGGTTTCTTGGTATTATTTCAGAAAATATAGTACATCATGTATTAGCCAAAGTCATGGCTTTTTCAGACCGTGACATCTTTGTTTTCAGGACCCTGTATTGTTCGCGGGAAGTCTGAGAGGCAATGTTGATCCTTTCAACCAGTACACGGACAGAGATATCTGGCGGGCACTGGAACACGCGCATCTCAAGAAGTTTGTGGAGACGCTTCCTGAAGGCTTAGAACATGAGTGCAGCGAAGGAGGAGACAATATGAGGTTGGAAATACCACATACTTACAGAACTCTGCTGATTAACTAGAGACAGACAGAGACTTACAGATAAAGTGAGTCATGCCGGAAAAGACCGGGTTCGATTCTTCAAATCCGTCGCTTTTAGTAATATTCCAACACGGCTGGGGACACCAGAAATGAACTTCACACGTTGTACCCAAATGGGGAATCGAAACCTGGTCTTCGGCGTGACGGGCGAATGCTCTTACCACCAGGCTACTATACCCCACCGCCCCCTTACAAACAGAGAAGACTGGCATACAGACATACATGATACACAGACAATGTAGAGTTGAAGCATATATCGCATGTCGTTTTATACGTCACATATTAGCCCAGTCGCTAAGCCACCTCAATTCTCTCGAGTTGTGTCGTTTGTGAATTGCTGAAATCTATGATTGTCTGTCCGTGTTAGCCCGAAATATGTTTCAAGGTTTGTCAAGGTTTGCTTGAAGGTTTCACCGAAGAAGTAAACTTCAAAAACCTGCATCGCATCAGACTTTCCTCCAGCATCAAGCTGGCGTCCTTGCAAAACTGTTTAAAGCGTCGTTGGATCAAACTTACTCTTACCAGCTAGCACACATGGCTACCTTACCGTTTTTGATGTGCATTTCGTGGAATACCTAAAGATTTGTAGAATGGAAATTGGTTTGGTTGATCATACACTAGTTTCTAAAATATACTCTCATGTTTCCAGTGTTGGTCAGCGACAACTCCTCTGTCTCGCCAGGGCGCTTTTAAAGAAGACCAAGGTTCTTGTTCTGGACGAGGCTACTGCCGCCGTTGACATGGAAACAGATGACCTGATCCAGCAGACAATCAGGTCAGAGTTCAAGGACTGCACGGTGCTGACCATCGCCCACAGACTCAACACCATCATGGACTACGACAGGTGACACGAAAATCTTATTTCGTTCATATACACTGTTCATAAAATAGAAACGAATAGGTGATATGAATCTTATTTCGTTCACATACATTGATCATAAGATAGAAACGAATAGGTGATTTTGAGAATATTGGATTCATGTAGCTGCGGAAAAAACAATACAAGTATATTGTTTCTTTCCAAAACGTCATGTTTGTGTGATTTTAAACAGCTTCAGCGCAAAAACCATACTTCTGCAGCGCTACATTCCATACACCAAGTGCATACTCGAAGCGCATACAAACAGACAGTTCATTATTACCCCGGATAACCCAAGCTGCCAGTGATGCGCTAGAAGTTTATAGTCACGTGTCTAATCCCACCGGGTACCCATTTTCTGCTGGGTGAACAGAGGTATGTTTGAACAAACTCACTTGCCTTAAGTGAGACCACATGTATCACATGTGCTTTGTTGTGGGGCAGGACTGAAGTGCTAGAAACTTTCAGGAGTCAAGCTGCCGAACACGGTCACCCATCCAAGAGCCTTCAGCGCCCAACGTTGCTAAAGTTCACCTGATTTGTGACGTAAACACTTTGCACTCCTCACACCACCTCAAGAAATTACATGGAAAAATTGTTCTTAAACTAACGCAATACATTCTTCTAAGAATGGCTTATGCGTTTCTTGAAGTGTGTACATTTGTTTATTATTTATGAACTGTATTCTTGTATCTACGTCATCATGTAATCATAGATGTATTTATTTATCTTTGATACTTAGGATCCTGGTCCTTGACAATGGCTGTGTGTGTGAGTTTGACACACCCTCCTCCCTGCTGCAACAGCCCAACAGCATCTTCTTCAACATGGCCAAAGCTGCAGGATTAGCCTCTTAGTACGAAAACGGCCTTATAGGCTTGATGTTGTGTGATAATAAAACACTGCCAAATAAAAGGAACAAAACAAGGTTCCATACACATGAATAACACTAAGGAAAACATGGACTGGTCATTCAGTTAGAATGCTTAAGCTTTTGTCATCAGATTCAGCAGCGGAGGCATGACACATTCTTGAAAATTTTGTCCCAGCCAATTGCATTATTGAATCGTCGTGTGATTCGTTGCTTGAAAGAAATAACAGCAATAAAAGACACCTCCTGTTTTCTTGAAGCTGTCTCTTCTTTTTATGCACTCGTATGTTTATCTCGATAACGCTCTGTCTCAAACCTTACATACTTGACATACTGTTTGTCTCGAATCTGAAAATGCAACACACTGTTTTTCTCGAACCAAGAACTATTATTTATAATTAAACGGACATATACATGCTATCAGATGGTGCGTTCATAGACAATCTTAATATAAAGTCGGGTAGTTATAATATAATTATAAAGTCGAGAAACATATGAAAGGGACACAAGATCTTTTCATAATCAACCCGTGAAGATCCGGGTTAGAAATGGTCTTCAGCAACCCATGCTTGTTGTAAGTGGCGAAGAGACACAAACACATGCAGAGGCACGCCAAATATCCACCTTACGGGAACGGGAACATGACCATTGGAAAGGTCAGAAAAAATCACAATTAGTTTACATTCCGAAGTGTAAACATCAATACACAGACAATATGGTGCGCGCAAGATGCTCCTGTCCCCTAATTTCAAAAAGATTATATCCATCAGGTACTGAAGAATTTATTATATTCTTTTTGGGGACGGTGGGGTAGCCTAGTGGTTAAAGCGCCCGCACTTCACGCTGAGGACCCGGGTTCGATTCCCCACATGTGTGAAGCCAATTGTGTCTCCCGCCGTGATATTACTGGAATATTGCTAAAAGCTTCGTAAAAATAAACTCATTCACATTATTTTCTGAACGCAAATGCCACTGGGCCATACGTAACATCGAATCTACATCGTTTTGGTTGTTTATCCACCAGTCTAGGTGGTTGACACTTTGAAGATCGTTCCTATCTTGAAACTGATTCTCGCTCCACAACCTTATTGTGACGGGCGCACCAGATATGAACTGAACATGATGTACCCAACAGAAGAAGGTTCAAACCAGGGTCCTCGATGACACGAGCGGACGCTTTAACCAGTAGGCTATCTCTACCCAGCGTTCGAAATATCTATTAGCTCGCTGGCCACATACTAACTATTGTGAATAGGGCCAGTAATATATATTCAAAGCTATCCCGACTGGCTATCTGAAAACCCAGATATTTTTTTCTTTATGTAATGAACATGAATGTGTAGAAGTCAATTATTAAAGTTGTAAAGTCCGTCCGCAAAAGTTTCGTGAAAATCTTAGTTTTTGTGGCTGTTTGATTTATAATGTTTCCAAGGGACGACAATAACTTACCATCTTCAATTACCAATCATCTTACCAATTGTGACCGATGTACATTTTGATATTGATATTTTGCAGGGTTAGTGAAGTATGATGTGGGCTAGCAACATTTTTACTTAACTAGCCCTCCTGGCCAGTGAATTTTCAAAATTAAGTCATTCACTGTGCCTACCGGTAATTGTTCATGGTAACTTGGATCAGTTTAAGCTTATTTGAAAACATCAGAACATATAATTGTAATATGAACGGATAACTATATCTAGATATTGTATAGAGGATATGAATCATGTTCATTAAGTTCACCGAAATAATGTTCTACTTGCACTATATCTATTCAGAATGACTTCACATGTCACGTGATAACTTAACAGAATGGTTGGCGATCAAAATTCATGGATAGATATCAGAGAAATACAAATTATATAACCCATAAAATTATATGCTTGATAAATTTGAAGATGTATTATTTTACGATACAACTGCTGAACTCACACATACACACACAAGAGGTGAGGTGAGGTGAAATTGGGTTTAACGTCGTGCTTGAGAATATTTCGCTCATATGACGACGTGCATGCGTGTGTATGTGTTTGTGCGGCTGCTTGTACTAGCCCAGACTTAAGCTGGTTTTATAGTGCTAGCCCACTGAGATACCATGCCGCAGTGAAGCATGAATATCCCACTCAGACACATTATACTGACTCCGAGCCGACCAGTCCTTTTTGTACCCATTAATGCCGAACGCCAGGCAGGGACCAACAAGTACCATATTTTAACGTCTTTTGGTATGACACGGTCGGGGATCGAACCAACGACCTTCCGCTATCCGGGCGGACGCTCTAACCACTACACCACGGAGGCGGTCTACACACACAAGACAAGAGCCAAAACCGAAACGTACGTAGTTGCACTATAATAGATGACATTTCATGTACAATACGAATGCATGTAGTTAACGTAGAGATGAGGCTCACAAAAGGAAATTGAAAAATTAATATTCAGATGAAGGCTTATAGATCCAAGAGAGTTGGAATTCAGTTGGAAATCACTGAAACAAGGTATATGTATTTTGAAGTTGTCACAACCCCTAGTGTACAGTACACAACCCTGTGCACTTAAAAGAACCCACGATTCTTTTGGTATATGACCAGATGGTGGCCACATGAATACGTGCAAACACCTAGTTGCGGGTACAGCAATGTGCAGTAAACTTGGACAAAGTACTGTGACTATATGTCCCAGTCCACCCAGCTGTGAACGGGTACCTCGTCAGGATGAGAACGCCACAACTCGGTGCGCCTAGTGGCAGCTTTTTATGCCGATGTGCCGTTGAGATTGACATCCAAATTATCGAGGGAAAACATACCAGCGCCTTGAGCATGCACTAGTTGCGTGGATATGCGCGCTATATAAATATCCTATGAGAAGTTCGGCGCTTCCAAAAACGTCATTTAGAGTAGAAGGATATGTTATGAGGAACAAATTTGCCTTTACACCGCCGTTATCAGCTTCCGTCAACACTCCTTCGAGGGAGGACTGGCTCACGCGGTGACCCACATTGCACAACACAGGGACATAGATATTGACTATAAACAGCTCCTGACATCCGTGAAGCTTCGTTTGTAGCCTTTGTTACACAGGAATGTTGACGGCAGATATTCGTACATCTTTGACATGACAGATACACGACCAGAGGTACGTCTTGTTTAACAATTGTTTACTATAGTTTCACTCCAGTAATTTAATTTAATGCATACAGAACACTACATTAAGCTGGCGTTTAAACAAATTAATATGAGGAAATGATGTTGACGCCTCTTATCAAGTATCGGCAAAACATGAAGTTGTCTGTATGCAGTGCATATTAATTAATCCAGGGGAATTTCCGAACATTCTATAAATAGCAGTCTTGTCTAAAATAGTACGCTCCTTTACTGGACTCTGGCCTTTGCTATACTGATTGTGTCTGTTTTTGATTGACATTTTTAATCAGTTGCTGTGGCAAGGATGTATTAATGAGTGAGAGAATAACTGGTTTTTAAGGGCGCATTCGAAACCACTCAAGCTATAACACGGTGGCCTCGCATTGACGAATCGTATAGTACAGACGGGATCTATCGTGAAAGATCGATCGATCATGATGTAACTAGATACAAAAATAAACCATGTAAATATTAATAGATGAATACAATTAGATTGATCTAAACATCACAAACATTGTGGCCTTTTCTGGATGTGAAAATCCAATTTGAATTTGGCTTCAATGATTTATTTTTATTTACGGATGTAAACAAAGTAAACAACGGTATGTACACTTCGGATATCTGCGTGGCAGATTTTTAAGGGAATATCTCCATAATCGAAGAAGGATATCAAATTCAAATGGAATAAAATATGTGACAATAATAAGCCTTTATAACAGACGGCATCCAGAAGTCATTTTGATGGCTTTTCCAATGTTTCTTAAGATTATGTAAACATAAACGGAAAAATGCTTCGTTATTCAATGAGGAATGATGGAAAATTTGGCATTGTATATTTTCAATAGAAATATGCAAATTATGTTAAAGATCGTTCCAGTCCAAATTGGGAATAGCATCCTATATGGTTTTGGTCATTGATGAGGAATTGTCTTCCACTTGCCTTTGCATAAAACTTTAAGCTGTCCTGGAGTCTTGAATATTTAGATCAAACACTTTTATATATTTTAGCCATGTCATCAACATTATAAAGAACCCATGGGGATAAACAAAAAAGTACTGGAGGAATCATTCGCGAAATCTATGAAAACGTATTGCCTCTGACTCAAGTTCTGTCCTCTCTATCCGTCGCCGCAAATAGTTATAAACTTTCTTATGCGGCGTTAAGCAATATTCACACACTCACTCTTTCTATCTGCATCCATTTATTCTGTATATTAGAGCCATGTACTTTGAAATCTACTTCACTTTCAACTGTTTGATGAGATTTATGGACATACTATAATCGGATGTGACGACTGAAATACAGTGTTCGAAATAGCCGTCTGCCGTCACACCCGAGACGGGTTAACAAGAAAATAATTAAAGTTTCTGACCGACAATGCATTCAGATAAAGTAATAAAAAAACATTCCATTCTTGTCGTGCAAATAAGAGTGGGTGAGTATGTTTTGATGCACTTTAAGCACAATTCCTGCAATATCATGTCGGGGGATACCAGAAATGTGCCCCACACACTGTGCCCATATGAAGAATCGAACCCAGATCTTCGCATCGTGACAAACAAACGCTTTAACCACTGCGTTACCATACCGTCCATGTGTCAGTACGAACCCATCTCTAATTCCTTTCGTATTTCGTTGAAAAGGAACACATTTATAAACTGACGTACAAAAGAAAGTACACACCTGATGCTTTGGCAAAAATGTTTTCCTAAAAACAGCATGATATTTAGAAAAGTGTATTGATTGTGACTCACAAGTCACAAACATTGTGTACGTGTTGCAATAACACCATAGATATCGTACCAAAATTGGAACATTGCTAGGAAAATATTTACGTTTTTTCAATAGTCTCAAAATTCCAGGTGTATACTTTCTTTGTACACCAGTATATACACTAGCTGTATAGTTACACCCTGGTTGTATTATTATGATGACGGTCATCTGTGTTGTCCTGCAGCCGACACCGTGTCCGGAGATCAACGCCTCGAAGTTGTCTCGACTCTTCTTCTTGTGGTCTAACGGGTATGTAAGCATGTAAACACATAGTTCCGGAAATATAATTATTGTACTTGTTAAAATGAGTGATATTTCTGGAATAATTAATGCAAGAAAAGGGATATTTGTGAAAAACATTTATTTTATATTTTGCCAGTACATTCCTGCAGTAAAACATAATTTCTGCCAGAAATGTCTGGCAGAAAAATCAGTCCTGCTGGAATTTCTGCAGAAAACAAAATTTAGTCAGACATTTCTGCAGAACTGCATTTTCTGACCCCATTCGTAGGCAATGGTTATGAATGAATATAATATTGGCACATAACTGAGATCGGTTCATCTCATCAAGTGCTTTCCAATGATGTAAAGTTCCTTCTTGCAGCTCGATCCTTTCTTTTGGTCAAGTTAGGACTGCTGGCCATTAACAAGGTGTCCGCCCAGCCTTTACATATCTACGAAATATATACAAAACCCTGAGCCCAGAACGAGACTTAATTTCAGACTTGCCAATTTGTTGGATTCATTATAATGTATTTTCTAGAGTATTGGGCTTTGGCACTACTTATGTCATTACTTTTTGTTAGGTTTATCGTCACTTAGGATAGTTCCATATATATCAATGCGGGTTGGCATTATTGGAAGCAGATTGCAGAGTGAGTAGGCAAGTTTGGAAACGTACGAGTGGTTTTCGACAGTATTTCAGTTGTATGCCAGAATGTCAGTTTGATGCGGGAATATGAAAGTAGGTGTTTACTGCGTCGGGGAATGCAATGACTAGGGGCAGTTTTCAGACAAAGCTAAAACTAGTCACAGAGTGAGCGATTGCGCAGCTTAAGTCAACTGTGCTAGTCAACTACGCAGAGCGAAACATTTTACATTTTGCAGGAGCAAATTTCCAGCGATTTGCCGGCGGTCTGTAAAAGATCGAGTCTGGTCCAGACAAGCCAGTGATTGATATTATGAACATTGTTATGCGCAATTGGGATATGATTAATGCATCAACTAGGTGACCCTGACCACCCAACCCCTTTAGCAAGCATTGTTTTCTAACCCGAAACCGGAATTTATGAATTATAACATCAGCAACAATACCCGTCTTGCTTTTTTACGTGTGTGTTGTTGGGTACTATTTGGGTTTTGTTTTTTTTAATGTTTTTTTGTTGTTTTGTTTGTTTGTGTTTGAGTTTTGTTTTGTTTGGGGTTTGCGCGCGCGCGCGTGTGTGTGTGGGTGGGGGTGGGTGGGTGGGGTTTGTTGTTTGTCTTGTCTATTGTGTTGTTTATTTGTTTGTTGCTTCTTTATTTGTTTCTTTTGTGGTGGTCGTTTGTTTTGTTTGTTTTTTTTGGGTGGGGTGGGATGGGGTGGTATTTCTATTTTGGGGGCATGGTGGTATCTCTAATGATCAGGTGCATTCTGGATAGACAAACCGTAATAGCTTCAGAAATGTGTGCATAAAACCAATCTGTTATTTGTGTTCGCAGGTTATTAAAGAAAGCTTATACAGAAACACTAACAGAGGACACATTGTGGGGCATAAACCCAAGAGAGAAGTGTCAGAATGTGTGTCCAAAGTTCGAGAGAATCCTTTCAGAGGGGACGTCAAAATCAAGAACCACGAGGTAAAAGGAGTAGGATTGGTCCATCTGGCAGTTACTAGCGTCATTCAAGTATTATAATACAAATTTCGTTTGTCTGTTGGACAAATTGTATTTTTTTTCATAAATAGCGGGTCAAACGGGAAAATACCGAGTTTTTTTATGTAATTTGTGTTGGCTTTTTTAGGCTACTGAAAATTTAATTATCTTGACTTAACCATCGCTTATTCCTTCAACAGTGAAACAGCGGGGTACCTCTGTACAAAGCACCTGTATTCATAGTGTCTAAATGTGTGTTAGTGTGTAATATTTTACGCTGCCTTTAGCAATATTCCAGTATTAACACGGCGGTTGGCACCAGAACTGTACCCGTATGGGAATCGAACTTGGGTTTTCAGCGTAACGCGCGGATTCATTAACTATGAAGTTGCACCCACGTCCCCCACAGTGTCTAAGGTGTCTGAGATACCCATAAGCTGTTGTGTTTTATAATAAAATCTTAAATAATTAAAACTCAAGTTACGCTTTATAAAATAGAGCCATGCAGTGGTTCCAGTGTTCACTAAGCAACACTACAGTACATGTCTTATATAAAATATGTCGCCTTTCTTCAGATATCTTTTAATGCAACATATGACTGAGATGTATCGTAGTTTTATTTGCCCGTCAGTCTGTAACTGTATATTTACTCAAGGCTCGAGATGGTTAAACAAAGTATAAAAACTCAGCATGTATTTCAGACATCAAACTCATACAGAAGACATTCCATCAAGTCACCGGAGTACCACGGGGCCCATGTCTGATATACGACACAGAAAGGGAACCACAGAACAAACAGTCAAACATATTCACGTCAAACATAAAACACAGGATGTCACCCAACCGAATCCGAAAGTCAAACACCGTTCTCTGTGGATGGTCATCATCAAGACATTTTGGAAAGAGTTCTTCAAAGCTATGGGTCTTAGGTTTCTGCAGTATATAATCATTTGGACAACAAATCCTTTCTTTATGAGGTAGGTAGAACATTCACAATTTCTCTTGACTGATGTCAAATGTAATATTCATATCTATTCATAATACAGGCATGTATTCTCAAATATGCACTTTTTCGTAATATTTGATTGTTTTCATAATCGAAGTTTAATGCACAGTCTTTAATAAGGCTCTCGACTGGCCAACATAGACTTTCTAAAGGGTTTTTAAAGTGTAAATTTATATTCCTCAAAGTTATGGAAAATGGCGTCAGCGTTCAGTACACTAAAAGGCAAATAATCATCTTATATGTTTTCATCATCACAACGACCTGAATTAGAGTACAAAGGTATCCAGGCGTATCAGGCTGAGCGGAATAGAGCTCATGGGTATAGTTGGTAGTATTCATTTCAAAAGTGTTGAACTTCAAGGATGTAAATCTTCCCCAATCAATCTGACGCCAGAAATAACCTAACTACTTAGCAAATCAACTTCAAGCACAACCTCCTCACTCATGTAATGAACTCAACCAAACACCCAACCGCTGTGTCACGTCATTATAAATGCATATGATGATACTAATTTCCATGTTAGCTACCTGATCGACACAACTGATGACCCAGACTCCAGTCCGTGGATGGGGATGCTGCTGTCCATGGTTCTCCTGCTGTTACTGATGACGGCGGGACTGTTGTTTGAACATTCCTTTTTTTAACAACCACAGCCTCGAGATCCATATACGTTCATCCCTAATGTCCTCTGTTTATAAAAAGGTACGTGAACCAAATTACAAGCAAAACACTCAAGTATATTGTGACAGCTTAGACAAAACTTTCTACTACTAGTATCCACTATTAAAGCATTCAGTATTTCTATATATAGACTCATAACACACATATCTTAAAAGCGTTGATATACGACTTTACATATTGGTATATTTCGTTTTCAACATGAGGAACCAATTTCACAAAGTCATCTTAACATTGTAATTGCCTTAACTCGCATATGTTAACATAGTATTAGCCTTGCAATGTATACTGGTAAAAAAGTAGGGAAACTTCATTTAAATTTGCGACTGAAACAAAGGGGACATATATTGGGCTCAGTCAATGTTGATGTGATAATAATGAATGTTTTGAGAGTGCATCACCACTTGCACTTCCTTATGACCGTGGTTGTTGTACAGCAATTTCTGTTGAAAGATGATTGGTGTATGACTTGAAATTTGCATGTGTACGTATTTCATTTTTCGTTAACAAAAAAATAGAAACAACACTAACAAATGTGTGATGCAAAATGATTGTCAAAATTAATGGTCCACAGTGTTTTATCGACCTTCCTAAAACCATCAAAATCAAGAATGACACCCCATGCACGTGTATGGGGCTACTGCGTTGTGTACGTGCATCCCATGCATTGTGTTTAGCCATGGTGATAAAGAGAAATGGTGGTGCCTTCATAAGATGTCTGTCTTTGAAATATCTGTTAACGTTTATGCTTCCTATCCAAATCCAAATCAAATCCAAAAGTTCAAGTTCCCCATATGATAAGAAAATATATATTGCTGCTGTACTTTTAAATTACTTTATTAAAGGCAATGAATCTCCACTGGAAGTCCCGTAAGAAGTATTCCATAGGTGAGATGACCAACTACCTCTCTAGTGACGCTGACACCATCGCCTTCCACCTCACCCACCTGACAGAGGTGATGTACACTCCACTCCACTTCATCGTGGTCTTCTACCAGCTGTTCTTCATCCTTGGTCCAGCAGCTGGGCTTGGCTTGGCCACTGTCGTGCTCATCATGCCCATCAATGTGTACATCGCCGTGGGAATGCGGGCTCTGTTCGACGAGAACGCCGATAACAAGGACGAGAAGATTAAGCTGTTGAATGAAGTACTAACAGGGATGAAGGTAAGCATGGGGCTTCCACGTCATAATACATGTTCACATATAGGATATCGACACCAGCCATTTTACAGAAGTCGTCATTTTATTATAATAAAATAGTTTAACTTGAAATATTAAATAGACATAAATGTATAAACATGAACAAAATTGTTTTAAACTACCTTAAAGAAAATGCACCCCCTAAAATATTGCCCAACGTGGTTCAAATTTCAATTAGGTACGAGCTCCGTCTAATGTGAATGTAAGATTTTACAATGAAGATCTGTTTTGTAGCTTTATTCTACAGAACCGATCTATGTACAAAATCTACAGACTGGTTGATTTACATTCACTCAAATACCTCAATCCAAGACCTTGTCGTAGACTATTTTGTTCTTGTGTGGTAGCCTTGTGATTGCAACCTTGAGCTTAAAGGTCCAGGTTCGATCCCACACGTTGGTCCAAAATATGAAGGCCACTGTCATCCACATTGTATAATGTTGCACCGACTGAAACTCAACAAAACAGTGTATTTTGCATAATTGTGAAGAAAGCGTAACTCAGTTATGAAAGTCAGAATATTCTCTGATTTAAAATTCACCAAAACGAAACAGTCACTTCATTCAAGATTCAGTAAGTTGATATATCATTGACGACGATGCACCTTTATCAATCAATCAAATTTAAGGACGACTGTGGCCTACGTTGTAAGTGGCAATATGCCCTTTCACACATACAACGATCTCCTTAATTAAACTGTAAATACTATGCCTCGAACTACAGATAATACATGTTTTGTCGAAAGTCCCCAAGACTAGTAATTGTGGAAGTTTCAACAATGAACACGCCATCATCAAACAAATAATGCATTTTGAATTGATACACAGCTGGATCATAATTATGTCATTGTGACTGTTGATCCTTCTATCGCTTCAATCAACAGCTTGTTTTGTGTACTTCCAAGGGGGTTGAGAATGAGATTTGACAGACACTGATCCAAACACCGAGGTTGTGATAATGTAACACCATGGGCAATTGCACGAGTATTGAAATGACCTCTGAAACGTCGTCCCAAAGAATTAAAGAAGCTGTTATCCATGAAAACGTTCCATGTATTATTAATGCCGTTAAAGGGGCGGTGGGGTAGCCTAGTGGTTAAACCGTTGGCTCGTCACGCCGAAGACCCGGGTTCGATTCCACACATGGGTACAATGTGTGAAGCCCATTTCTGGTGTCCCCCGCTGTGATATTGCTGGAATATTGCTAAAAGCAGTGTAAAACCAGACTCAGTCAGTCAGTCAGTCAGTCAGTCATTAAAGTTGCTGTCTTTGTCCAATCTTTAAGAGCAGTATAATGGTCAGATTGGTAACAAGGCATTGGTTACGACCATTTCTAAATTATAATATTATGTGCATGTTATTTAAGGTATTAAAGCTTCTTGCCTGGGAGAAGTGTTTCGGAGACAAGCTTGATGCAATCAGAAACAAGGAACTGTCAGTTCTGAGACGTCTGTACATTTTCCGAGCCTTCAACGTCTTCAGCTGGAATGCTTCACCTTATGTGGTAAGTTCCCAGAACTTAATGAAACCCAATTGGCCTGCGTTTGGGCAACAATTTTAAACTGAAATGTGTTACACATCACTGAAATATTATCATCATCATCATCATCACCATCACCATATTAGGACATGTGTAATTTCATGTATATAATGGATACTAGTATGCTGTCGTTTAGTAAACGTTTGGTGCCTCTTATTGCGTGGGCCACTCTTGTGGGAAATATAATCATAATTAAAACCAAAGTTGAGGGAGCGTTACTTTTTCGTTGGTCTGTTCGACGCCCCTCGAAATTAACTTCGTGTACTTTCTGATGTACGTGTTATTATGTAGGAAGCGGAGTTAATGTATATCCTCATTGTAACCTTTTGTCCTTCAATACCCGTGATGATCCGGATTAGAATTGATCTTCAGTAACCCATGCTTTTTGTAAGAGGCGACTTACGGGATCAAGTGGTCAGACTCGCTGACTTGTCATCGTATCCCAGGTGCATAGATCGATGCTTATGCTGTTGATCACAGGATTGTCTGATCCTCACTCGATTATTTACAGACCGCCGCAATATAGCTGGAATATTTCTGAGTGCGGCGTAAAACTAAACTCACTCACTCACTGTCCTTCAATACCCGTTGTATTCAACCTATGCTACCAATGTCTCTGTCCCCAGATTTCCGTGGTGATGTTCTGTGGGTTCTACTACATGAACGGAGACAGTATTTTGTCACCGAAATCTGCCTTCGCCGTTGTGTCTCTTCTAAATCTACTCCGATTCGCCATCAGTCAAACGCCCGAAGTCGTGTTTGACATCACAAAGGTAAACTGCAAATTCATCATAGCCATGCCTATCGTGTATACCGTGTGTTAGTTAACAGCGGATCCCGGTGGGGATTCTATAAGAATATAGGTCACCATCAACCGATGCTTGTCTTAGGAGGCGACATTGTTGATCGGATGGTCTGGTTCGGTGTTTTGGTGTCATCGTACCCTGACGGCGTGACACGTTTATCATAACACCAATCACTGAATTTTCTGGCCCAGAGACGATTATTTTTAAGGTGGCCGTAATGAAGCCAAACTATTGCTGAGTCAGCGTTATAGAATAAACACATACAGAATAGGTACGAAGTTAACTAATAGTTCGGAAGGGAACTTGCAAGACTTAGTTTTGTCATTGATTTTTAAATAGAGGGTGTCATTTCCATAAACATGTGTCAATATTGTATGTATGTTCTAAATCTAAGAGTGGGGTAACCTAGTGGTTAAAGCACTGATTCGTCACGCTGAAGACCCGGGTTCGATTCCCCACATGGGTACAATGTGTGGAGCCCATTTCTGTTATTCTCCGCCGTGATACGTGTATTACTGGAAAATTACTAAAAGCGGCGTAAAACCGTATTCACTCACTCACTCTAAATGTAGGAGTTTTCCTTAATTAATTTAAAAAACACATATATTTTCATCTCTTTTCGATATATTTATTTATCTATTTATTTATTTATTTTTGTTTATCAAAATGCGTATGTTGCTTACATTATTGTATTCAGCAGGAAGCAGATCATGTGTGGTGATCCATTATATGGTGTACAGTATAGGCTACTAATCACGTATTCCACATTTTCAGGCCAGTATTTCAGTCAGCAGGCTGCAAACATTTCTACAGGAGGACGAGTTTGAAGCGAGTTCGGCAGGAAATGCTCACTGTAATGGTAGGTCAAATACATGATACTATAACATCTCAAACGAGACTGCATACAATAACTATGAACTGACGTACTAAGAGTGAGTGAGTATGGATTTACGCCGCTTTTAGCAATATCCCGGCGGGAACACCAGAAATGGGCTCCACACATTGTACCTATGTGGGTAATCGAACCCAGGTCTTTAGCGTGACGAGCGGACGCTTTAACCAATAGGCTACTCCACCGCTCCGACGAACTAAGAAGTAATGGCTGTGGTATATATTAGCCCTAATCGTCAACTTCATATGTCTGTAGGTATTGCCATCAAGATGGAGAATGCCAGCTTCGGTTGGGATGACGACAGTTCCAAAGCAACTTTAAAAGCGTAAGCAAATTGCAGTTGTTAATTATTGCTATCGAAACATTAAGCTATAAATACCCAGTTCATTTTCATCCGTTTTCACGAGGGTTTCAATGGTCATTTAATAAACTTTGGTCCTGGAAGTTTATTAAATGATCATTGAAACTCTCGTGGAACCGGATGGAAATGAACATCCCCCCCCACACACACACACACACCCCTTTCTCAGAAAGCTGTATCCATCCCTGCACACACCCCACACACATCCTCACACCCACATAAGAAATAACATACGAACGGGTGCCTCTTACAACTGGTCAGGACGATTACTGTTGTCTTCCGCAGTGTGAACCTCAGCATCCCTGAGAGGAGCCTGATGGCCGTGGTGGGTCATGTGGGGGCTGGGAAGTCTTCCCTGGTGGCTGCTGTCCTGGGGGAAATCCAGAAGGTTAAAGGTCATCTCAGCGTCCAAGTATGTGTCCCAAACATGATGGATGGTTTTGCCACTGCATGTCATGGATTATGTAAACGTAAATCTCAGTCAAAATATAACCTTCTATATTCATCTGAGGACTGTTTAATGGAGGAAGTCAAAGATGAAGACTGCCTCACATTTCGCCACATATAGCTGCTTTCTACTCTACGTATTCAAGAGAAGTGTAATTTTCACACCCAATAAATATAAATGAGAACGGCATTGCTGTCCTTGAGTTGGACACAAGCCTCAGACTTTTCAAAATTCAAAGGAATTTATAGTTGAAACTCGCAGGCGTTGGCTGTTTGGAGTCATAAGTATTATACTATTCAAAGGACTGTGCACTTTCAGGGTCGCGTTGCCTATGTGCCTCAACAAGCTTGGATCCAGAACGACACCCTGCAGAACAACATCTTGTTTGGGAAGCCGATGGTCAAGCAGCTGTATGATAAGGTGGTGGAGTGCTGTGCCCTGAAACCTGACCTGACTATGCTGCCGGCAGGGGACCTAACGGAGATAGGGGAGAGGGTGAGTGACCTACAACGCAATTTTTCGAAACATCCAGTGAATTAAGAACCTGTAAATAATTATTGTCAGAGTAATTCCAAGGCAATAGCTGAAAACATCTCTAGCCAATTTCTATCGTGATGTCTATTCTATTTGTTTCCTCTCTTGTCATCAGGGTATCAACCTGAGTGGAGGACAGAAGCAGAGAGTGTCTCTAGCCAGAGCTGTCTACAACGATGCTGATATCTACCTGCTGGATGATCCACTCAGTGCTGTTGACAGTCATGTTGGGAAACACATCTTCGACTGTGTAATAGGCGCAAAGGGAATGTTAAAAGACAAGGTGCGATCGAGAAACCAATATGTATTCTGTAAAATCATGAAGTGAAACATTAAGTGGTTGAATGTAATGCAGCTTTTAATAGTCTGATTGACTGACTGAGTTTGGTTTTACGCCGCTTTTAGCAATATTCCAGCAACATCACGGCGGGGAACACCAGAAATGGGCTTCACACATTGTACACATGTGTGGATTCGAACCCGGGTCTTCGGCGTGACGAGCCAACGCTTTAACCACTAGGCTACCCCACCGCCACCTTTTAATAGTAATCAGTAACATGAAATAGATGTTTACAGAACAATCGTGATGTCCAGCAAACAATATCTTTCCTTTTCTTTTTTAATTTCTTTTCTTCCTTTTTCTTTTGTTGATTGAGTGGGCGTTTGGTGTTACAACATGAATATACATTATCTCTCGACCCCCCATCACCTACCCATGACTATGAAATGGTCGGTTCTTTTAGAATTGCAGCATTAATGAGATGACATGGTGTCGATGAGTAAGTTATCTGCACATCTGAGATTCACTGGAATGATGCTTCAACACATTGATTCAACAGACACGAGTCCTGGTAACGCACAACGTCCGTTACCTGCCTGATGTTGACAGCATCGTCGTTCTGGGAGACGGCACAGTGGCAGAGACGGGATCGTTCAGCGACCTCCTCAACGGTGACGGTGTGTTCACGCGTGTGCTGCGATCTTACCTGGTGGACTATGAAGACAACAGGGCGTGTGTAGAAGGTGAAGTACAAAGTGGTCGCAGTCGTAGGCGTAGAAGTACATCTAGAAGTCACAGTAGTATTTGAAGTTGCAGCTGACAAGGCACGCTTTGTAATAATTGAACTGGTAGTATTGGTTCTAGAGTCGAAGCATTGATAACAGTAGTAGAGGAAACAGTAGCAGCAGTAACAGTAGTAGTAGCAGCAGTAGAAGTAGCAGCAGTAGTAGTAGCAGCAGTAGTAGCAGCAGTAGTGGTAGTAGTATACGTAGTAGTAGCAGTAGCAGTAGTTATAGTAGCAGTAGTGAGTAGTAGTGGTAGTAGTAGCGGCAGTAGTAGTAGCAGCAGCAGCAGTAGTAAGTAGTAGGTAGCAGCAGTAGTAGTAGTAGTAGCAGTAATGTAGTAGTAGTAGCAGTAGTAGTAGTAGTAGCAGTAGTGGTAGTGGTTGCAGTAGTAGTAGTAGCAGTAGTGGTAGTAGTGGTAGTGGTAGTAGTAGTAGCAGCGGTAGTAGTAGTAGTGGTAGTAGTAGTAGCAGTGAGTAGTGAGTAGTAGTAGTAGTAGTCTACTGTGGTAGTAGTGGCAGCGGTAGTGGTAGTATTAGCAGTGGTGGCAGTGGTGATTAGTGGCAGTGGTATGTGCTGCAATGGTGGTAGTAGCAGTGGTAGTGGCGGTGGCAGCAGCGGTAGTAGTGGTGGTAGTGGTAGTGGCGGTGGTTCAGTGGTATAAAGTGGTGCTGAGTGGTAGGCAGTAGTAGTAGCAGTAATGTGGTAGTGGTAGTGGTGGTAGTGTAGTGTAGCAGTGTATAGTGGTGGTAGTGTGGTGGTGGTGGTAGTGGTAGCAGTGGTAGTGGCAGTAGTAGTAGTAGTAGTAGCGTGTAGTGGTAAGTATTAGTGTAGTAGTAGCGGCAGTGGTGATAGTAGTAGCAGTGGTAGTGGTAGCGGTGGTGGTAGTGGTAGCGGTGGTGTAGTAGTGAAGTGAGTGGTGGTCGGCACTGTAATGTCTAATGCATATCGGCTCCTATATGTAGTAGTAGCAGTGGTGGTGAGTGGTAGTGGTAGTGGCAGTGGTGGTAGTGGTAGTGGTAGTAGCAGTGGTGGTAGTAATGGTAGTGAGTAGTAGTGGCGGTGGCAAGCAGTAGCAGTAGTGGTAGCAGTAGTAGTAAGTGGCAGTGGTAGTAGTGAGTAGCAGTAGTAGTAGTGGTATTAGCAGCAGTAGTAGTAGTAGCAGTAGTAGCAGTGGTTGTAGTAGCAGTAGTGGTAATAGTAGCAGCAGCAGCAGTAGTAGTAGCAGCAGTATTAGTAGTAGCAGTATTAGTAGTAGTAGCAGTGGTAGTAGTAGCAGCAGCAGTAGTAGTAGTAGTAGCAGTAATAGTAACAGTAGTAGTAGTAGTAGTAGTAGTAGTAGTAGTAGCAGTAGTAGCAGCAGCAGCAGTAGTAGTAGTAGTAGCAATAGTAGTAGTACTACTGACTGCTGCATGTGAGATGAAAGCTCGAAGTTTTTCATGTCTTAGACGTTTGTTTCTGATTAGGTTTACGAGCACGGATAACTGTAATTAACATACGATCCATCTGGGATTCGAACCGCGGTTATCTGGCACTACTAAGAGACCCAACTGCGAATTGCTTCAACTCAGACGCCATGGGCATGCGTGCCCATTTTAGTATCAATATTTGTCGTATAATTTGCAGCAGTAAGTGTATTGTAGTGTATCTGGATGAGAATATGTAAAGTTATAATGAGAATCGGTGAACCCTAATTGGGTAAGATGTATATTAAGGGGCCACAACACATACGAAGCAGGTCATCTCCACTCCTGTGCCAAAAAGAAATACAACAGTACACACAAAATGATGTCTACATTCCAGATACTCTTCCGCCAACCACGTCTACAATTACAGTTCCAGTGGTGGAATAATTTGCCGCTTTCTCGTCTTGTAATGTTATAAAGATCTCAATATAAGTCTCTGTTGTATTACTTTACTAGCACGTTAATGTCAATTATATTAACATTTCAAAGACGTCAATTGAATGTCGTTACTCTGTGCCTATGTCCATTAATTTGATAATATGATTATATATTTCTTTCCAGATCTTGAGAAAGGCGAAGGGGACGACATAGGCAGTGATCTGAAAACAAAGCTGATTCGTCTGAACAGGTGAGCTGAATGTGGTAGTACTCTCCGCGTAAGTTTCAACCATCTTGACTCTTCAAATTGTCCCTTCTTGTTTTCTCTGAGGCGAATGACACAAATTTAAGTTTCGGTGAACGATTATATCTTGTATCTGTGTTGTTCGAAATCTACATGCCAGTACCGTTTTGTCGACACCGTGTTAAATGATGTATATGATCATGATGTTTTAGCGAGGATGGACCTGCAGCAACTGACGGCAGTCAGAAAATAACTGCAGAGGCCAACATGAAGACATCAAGACAGACCTCCAGACATCTGTCGACCTCAGAAGATAACCCGCAATCTGATGGAAAGATCATTGAAGAAGAGGAGTCGGTGGAAGTTAGTGGGAAGGTATTAGTATGTAACACAGTCTCACACAGGCAGTCTTGGCGATAGCTCAGTGATTGAAGCGTTCTTTAGAGAAGACCAAGGTCACCCTTCTACAAGACGTAAGCAGGATTACAACACAGGATTATTGTTTGTGCTCTCCGTGCTTTAGTTTGAATGTTCTTACTATAATCTCGAATTAAAACATTTTCTGTTGTATTACACACTTCTTCAGCAGTCGGTTACACTCTCCTCTTGAAAATGTAGACTAATCAAAGTTAAATCCTTATTCTTTTAGTTATCCTATTGTTATTCATTACGACAGAAAAACACTTCCTTTGAGGTATATACTTAGCCTATCACATGATAAAATAAACAACTTCAATTCCACCGGTCTGTCTATACAGTATACACGAGTATCCATTTTCACTATAGCGGACATGGAGTCTGTTCCTGGATTATGCAAGGGTCTACGGCCATTGGCAGATGTTGGTGACAGTGACGTCCTATTGCCTGTACTACGTCCTCTGGCTGGAGGGTAACATCTGGCTGACCCAGTGGACGGACGACCCCCTGCTGAAGAGTGTCAGAGACGGTGTCCTCGCCAATGGGACAACACAGGAAGACATTCGGAGGACCAACATGCAGTATCTGAGTGTCTACAGCGGACTTGGACTAGCCATGTGTAAGTCTCTGGTTTCGGTAGCCGAGTGTGAGTTATTGTGGCCATGCGTGTTTCTGTACTTTATGAACAGCTCACGAAGTAGGCAACTGATGGCGCAGAGATTACCTCACATGGCAAGCTTGATTGTAGGGAATAGCTAATTGTTGGGAGTTGGTTCTGTACTCCTCTCAGGCGCGTAGCAAGCCATTCTTTTCGTGTAAGCCCGATAGGTTGCAAAGCTTTATATTAGATTGTATTGAGTGCTTGCCCAACCTTTTAGCAACAATCATATGTAAGCCGGGGCTTTTTTCAGAATTGTAGCTACGCCCCTGCCTCTGAAACACAGGTCATGTAAATATGCGTGGAGTGACTCCTCGGGACGTTGACTTTTCTGGGGAAAAGCCCCTGTTAACTGAAGAGCGACTTAGCCCATGTTGAGATGCTAATGCAAACATGTGCAGCGTAAGGGGCAGCTCGGGGTGTTTACTCCTTCAGGGGCTTTTGGAATTATTGTATCAATAATTGTGCATCGACACACCTATAGTTAAGGGCATGGAAATACCTATACATACCGGAGATGACATTTAGATAGCTCTCGTGTTTCAGCAATTCATTGTAAGCAGATTGGATGAGTATTAAAATGTACTCAATTATCCTTCATTGTCTGAACCCTTTCATGCTTACTCTTATGTTGTTTTTGTTGATGGCTATTAGATTTATATGTGTCGTTGCTGTAGTTCGTAACTCTTGGACAGTAAAGATCCGGGTTAGAATTAGGGCCTGTTCGATTATGCTAAACCGGTTTTGGTTTCGGGAAAACCATGCACTCGATTACGTCGAAACCTAAAACTGGGTTCTGAAACTTCGAAACCATCTCCAAGGCAGGTTTCGCAGTTTCAGTTTCGCGGTCTCTCACAACAAACATGGCGGAAATGAAAGCGCCAAGTTCAGCTGATCTTGGTGGCAAAATAGAGCAGCAGTTTTTGGAACCAAAATAAGGATAAAAAATCAACTGAGAACTTGGAAAATATTATTTAAAACCTCAGTCTATTGAACATGACTATTTTATGTAACTTGTATATATCTATATAATTACTTGTAACAGTATAATTACATATACGCATATATTTACCTCCAAAAGCATCACATCTCTATGTTATTTGTTAATTCACTGATAAAATGAAAAACATATGCTGTCATCCAATTCGTTCCACATATACAGTAGCAGAGACATTTTTTTGGTATCCATTTTGAAACCGGATTGTGAAACCATCCACTCGTTTATAAAACTAGAAAGTAGTTTCACTTTGAAACCATGTATCCGAAACTAGACACTCGTTTATAACAGGAGAAACCAGTTTCAAAACCCAAACCAGTTTCGCAATAATCGAACTAGCCCTTAGTTTTCAACAGCCCATGCTTATCGTAAGAGGCGACTAACGGGATCTGGTGGTCAGGGTTGCTGACGTCGATAACATGTTGGTTGACACCATGTCATCGATCAATGCTCATAATTTTGATCACCGCATTGTCTGATCCAGACTCGATAATTTACGAGTGTGGCGTTAAACAAAAGAAAGACAAAAGTTGTCTTTCATAAGAGTATCGTGTCTGTATTTTAGTCATCAACTTCTAAAATGCCAATGGCATATGTCTAAAATGTATTATATGGTGTCTCAACATGATCTTATAGCGTTCTGCATCCTGATATACACTTCTGTCACAACGATCGGTGTGGTAAAAGCCTCGAGAGATCTACATCACCAATTGCTGACAAACATCCTGAGAGCTCCAATGGCATTCTTCGACACAACACCAATCGGCAGAATAACCAATCGCTTCTCACATGACATGGACAAGATCGACGGGGACCTGCCATTTGGCCTTGAGTTTTGGCTGGACTGTGTCGCTATCGTGGCGGTTGCCCTGGTCGCTGTTGTGTACAGCTCTCCCCATGTTATAGTGCTCATCATACCGCTGGCATACTACTACTGCTATATACAGGTGAGTGAGTGAGTGACTTTAGTTTTACGCCGCTTTTAGCAATATTACAGCAACATCACGACGTGGGACACCAGAAATGGGCTTCACACATTGTACCCATGTGGGAATCGAGCTCGGGTCTTGGCGCGACGGGCGAAGCCTTTAACCACTAGGCTACCCCAACGCCCCATGTGTGTGTGTGTGTGTGTGTGTGTGTGTGTGTGTGTGTGTTGTGTGTGTTGTGTGTGTGTGTGTGTGTGTGTGTGTGTGTGTGTGTGTGTGTGTGTGTGTGTGTGTGTGTGTGTGTGTGTGTGTGTGTGTGTTTGTGTGTAATATGGTTTCGCACCCAGTTTTCTCGTCTCTGAAAGCAGGCACATGAAACGAAATTCAAAGGCCCGTGAGACCATAATATACCCATTAGAACATCTGTATTGTTCTTGTGCCCAACAGAACCTGTGTGGATAACGAATATTGCTGTAACCCGCTTTCATTCTTCAGGATTCTAGTTCTTGATCAGGGTGAGGTCAAGGAGTTCGAGTCTCCAGAGAAGCTTCTCCAGAAGCAAGGTTTGTTCTATCAGATGACACGTGATGCAGGAATCAACTCAAGTAGAATGCCCAATTCAAGTTGAACACTCAAGTGGAACACCATTAACAGCTCTTTACTCACCGTCCACGATGATGCATCTTTAAACACGCTGTCATCTTTTTACGTTCTTGAAGATATCGCTGACTGTCATTGAACGCAGCAGATCCTAAGTAATAGTGAAACTCTTCATATTGTTGATTATGTTCATGTATTTTTCAATATGGATTTGAAATGTGTTTGTATTTTGGCATAATATTGTGAAATAAATTTACAATATAATGTTCATGTGTCGCCGTCTTTTCCTAAACGTCTTTTAGTCAGTCCTCCGTGTGTTGTGAGATTGGTGATTCGTGATTGGTGTGCACACCCCAAATTTGTATCAATTGTCTCCCTTACTTGTGAATGTTCTCAGTCCCACTCCGGGCCTCTGATGTGATTTACAGTCCGCATTTAGCCTAATGCTATAATCATGTACTTTTTTCAGATACTTTTTTCACTTGAGAATGCTCCTCATATGCTAATCCCCATAAAGATGCCTAATATAAGATTTATAATCTGTTTTTTGCATTGCCAAGTGGTAACTACGGAATTCCTGCACAGACATCACTAGTAATTATAGCATGACTATGTCGTCCTGTCCCTGTGGCATTGCACGGAGCTGATGATATCAACCACTGGTTTGTTTGGCTCAGACTCGGTCACTTAGGTTAATGGTTAAAGCATCCGCTCGTCATGCTGAAGATTCGGTTTCGATTCCCTTCATTCCCGGTGCTAAAGCGTGGGAAAACCTCACTCACTCATTCACTCGCTCACACACGTAGCGATTATAATTATATTTATGAAACTCGGAGCGATTATTATCATACTTCCTAAAAATGTTGGAAAATCTCCAATATACGTATCTGTCCAACTGTCACGTGGTGGCAGAGCAAGGGGAAACCTGGTATTTTGGCTTAAATAGATTAGAACTGACCCGCTTTCGATATTGCGTTTAAATAGATTAGAACCGATCCGCAGCGTTTATGCAGTGTCTGTACTCACAGGAATAGTTACCTGGCGTCACAGCCTCTTTATGGTTGGTTGGTTGGTTGGATTGCATACGTGTGTATGCTTCTGCGATTATTCCCTGAGGGTCAATTCATCCCGATGGTAAACCATAGTTACACAAATTCCTTTGCCACGGTTAATGGTAAATGATGAAAAACGATTAAAAATATTCCAGTCTGTAAATAATCGGGTAGATAGTATCTACGCGTCTTCGTCATTATGGAATTTGTTTATCTTATATTCAGTTCACGTGAAAGGAATGTCAACCTCACAGACACGTTACCTAAGCACAGCAATTTCCCGAGAGACTATATCAAATTGGTCATGTGGTCTGGTGGTGAACTGGAGCCTTTTGATACTTTGGGGTTTCTGAATAAAATAGTTTTTGCGTTGCCATGGCAACACGTTTGGCTTCGGCTTAATTTGATTGAAAAGAAAGAAGCACAATTTGAAGACCGTTCAATATTCTCCTTCACTGTATACATGCCAAAACATTTGACATAGCCGGAACTAGCTGACATGTATCATGAAGAGTATTTTGCCGTTGCGGGGGATATTGATGACTTTGTCTTCTTGTTGTCTCTAATTTCTAATTTCTTTATTCATTTATATTTTGATTTTGGGAGTGTGGGTTTGTCGGAAGGAATAGCATTATTTAATATGAGTATCAAAAAGAACTACATGGTACAAATTTCCAAACATGAACAATCTAACGGTCTTCAGTGACAAACTAAGTACGAAGTAACAAAAAGCATTTTTATGTTTTAACATTCATGGTGGTAAATTAGTTGAAGAATGGCGTTCAGTTTGTCTTTCCTAATCAGTATGGTGACCTCTTTATGAAAAATGTCAAAATAACAGACATAATATTATTCTCGGATTTTTCAACAATAACCAAAACTACCTTTACATGAATTGGGATGCCCAGTGAATATGAATAACAAGTGGGTTCAACAGTTGGTATTCTCGACTTCATGATAACACTATCAATGATAACATCGCATTACTGTCAATACATGAAGGTTACACGCAACCTTTGTCAGTGATAAATCAGTTGGATAATGAGTGATAAATCAGTTAGATAATGAGTGATAAATCAGTTGGATAATGAGAACATGCAAGAAAGGTCCATCTCAAACTTGCTTTGTTGAGTATAGGGTTCTTTTTTTTTATTTTTGCTTTTTAGTTTATGCTTCAGCACATGCGTAACGACATGCTTCAATCAAGGGCGACGCCTTGTTCGTTTGTAAAGAATGAAACCATAGTAGTATCCTTATGGCACCTTTCCGTAAATGGCTTCAACGGGTGTTTTTTCCATTGTCTATACTTTGATGATAAAAGAAACCACGTAAATGTCAGTTAACGGAACCATTTTCCAGGCCATCAGTGAAATTTTGATTCAAGCAGCAGAGGAAATTATGTTCATTACTTGTATACACATGGAAAAGGTATTGCAACACCTATGATTTTTAATCCCCATATAGCCATAGCCATTTATAGCCATGTCATGCTTGTGTATATTTGTATGATAATTTAGACCCTTCGGGCGTACCATACATTGATTTTAGATATGCACGTGATACGAAGGCGAACATCTTCCTCAAGTTTGAGTAAACATTTCTAACAGCTCGATGGCCATTAATCAATTGATTACGTTGCTGTTCAGGAAAATTGGAACCTCCACAACTGACAGCTGCTCAAAGATGGCACGTTATTGTTATGCATATTGCTACGCTTTAGAAATTGACGTGAGAGCTTTGTGAGCTTTTGAACCAGCAAACATTGAACAGAGACAAGTCTAAAATATTCAATAATATATTGAGTAAACAATGAGCAAGGTAACAATGAATGACACTTCAGATTCCTTGTACAATACTACTGAGTCACAAATCTAAACTATTAACTAAATGTCTGTAATTACTACTCTTGTAGTACTACTGATTGGAGATTTTTGACATTAGTTGAGACGAGGAAAGCGATCGATGTTAGCAGATGAGCGTAAATCCAAAACAGTCCTCAAAGTCGTGTCGATCATCTCAGAAACCACCGTTTGTACATCCATTATACAGTTCTGGAGAAATCCAGCAAAATCTACCCCACAACACAATGATCGAGAAATTTCTCACAGCACCCGCCGGAAGCAAAACAAAGGGAAGCATAACAAAGAGGAGGTAACTCTGAGCGCAGCTCCTCAGGTCACTATCAACAGGCGGAAGTACACAGCTGTCAACAAACCACGTGATCAAAGGCACGTCATGTGACTCAGAGTTGATAAAGTCCACCAACTAGGAAGTGAGACGCAGAGAGACAACCTGTTCATAACGCTGTAGTTATAGAGGTATGTCAAGCATTTAGTGCACATTGTACAAATCTATAGATTACGTTTTGTATTAAGACCGTTGTTGTGATTGTTGAGGAAATTGCATGTGCGTTTGTGGGGTGCGAAAGGGGGGGTTGGTGATGAGGGTGGAATGTAGTCATCGAATGTGTATGTACTGTTACCTCATGACACTAAGTGATTTATTGCATGTTCTTATACAGGTTATACACACAGTTTGGGGAGAGGACTAACCTCATTAAGTAAAAAAAGACAATTAAGCATACTTTTTGTACATAGTTCTAAAAATAATGGCTGTTTGACCAAATGTATACATTAACAAGACATACCAAATTCTGCAAAACAAACTAGTGCGTTTATATATAATTTTGGTTAACCTGGGCGCACTTGCACAAAGCAATCCTAACACTACGATGAGAGTCTATGTTAGAGTATGGGAGTTTCAATCATCGCAGTGATAAGGTGCTGTGCCCAAGTGGCCCTGAGATGTTTAATCAGAGATCAGAGGTCACTACATGGCTGAGTGTGTGGTGGGTGAATATAAAGCAGCTGTTTAAATTTACTTTCAGTATAATTCTGCAAGAAATTAAAACAATTAAGTTTTCAAAGATTATAGCAGCGCCTTACAAATCAGAAAATGAATCAATATTGTGGTTTCATTTTGAAGTCAATCAAATGTATTTTCTATCCATTATTCATTATTAAGATCGTTGTTTTTTTATTATTACGTATGTACCCATTCATGTATCCAAACTCACCATGATTTCCACGCATGCTCAGTCGAGGTGCATTCCTGTCGATCGCTAATACATGAAAATACGACAACAAGAGTTATCTACCTTTCCCCATAGCTGCTCGGAAGTCCAAAGTCTGAACTGCAGTGAGGAGTCGTTGGTGAACAGCTATTTCTCTCCGTATACCTTAGTTGCAATTGGATGTTACGTCATCGTGTGAAGGGGTTGATACATTCATGTAAACTTTAATATGCGAGTTTGTAAATATTCTTGTTGTTTTGTGGCATAAACAAAATAATGATCCTTTCTACACCGGCAATAAGTACACTTATGTTTGTATTAATGGATATATACACAAATAACTCGATTAAGCACCCCCTGTATTTTTGCAATGATAGGTTTTCAACACGTACATAAACCTTCTCGTGGTGACCACGATGGAAAAAACATGAGTTTTTCTGACCCGTATGATCCTTTGACTCATAAAAAGCTCAAAATGACTGGAATCCATGTTGACTTTATGATGATTATTGCTCTTTATTTAGAAAAACAACAACACTGATTTTCATACAAAACCATGTCTGTACAAGTATGAGCCTGGAATGTTTAATGTTGGATACACCGTTGAATGTGAACATTCAAAATGTCAATGTGAAGTGTAACCTCAGGGTCAATACCGAGTGTAACCTGCATGTGACTGTATGACAGCCAGCAATCTCCTCCTCATACCCCTGTCAGCATCCTGATCGTCTGAAGGGGCAGTCTATGCCATTCATCGTGTAAAGCAGCTTCCAAATAGGCCAGGTTTTGTACAGGAGGGTCCCTGTGTTGCACATGACGACCACTCATGTCCCAGATATGCTCAAAAGGGTTAAGATCGGGGCTCATTCAATCGTGAGATATATCAGGGGGTGTTTAACTAAGATCCTTGTGTTCCTTTATATGAACATCCCAGCTACCACTATCGCATACATACCACTGTAATTAGTGCTACCATGCGCAGTGTTGAAACTCAGGTGCACGTGTCAATAATGTGGTGTAGGGCTGGGACGGGTCCAAATTTTTAATGAAAAGTGATACCATCATCAAGATTTTAATAAGAATTAACAATAATTCGTCACCCCACATTCCCCCCAGGTACCCCACTCCCAATTACTCTACCCTACACGGATACCCGTTATGTTAATTCCTGACATCAAATTTGTAAGAAATGGCAATATATTCTTCAGCTCGGAAGCTAAAATTTCGAGTTTTTCAATATCTTAACCATATATTACATTCAAAACATGCGACTGTAAATTATGTCTATAAATCTTCAAAGACAATACAACCTTTTAATAATGAAAGAATCACATGTTACATTGTTTAACCTGTTAGTCTCATGATCATAACGGGGTCCGGGTATTTAGACGGATCCAAATCATTATCCACCCTTCACGGGTTACCTTTCCCAACCCCAATGTGGTGCATCTGAACTTGTGTGTATATGTACATGTATCTTCAAATGTTACGTCACGGTTTTTTGTGAATGCATTACGAGAAAATACGTGACGTCAGCACTGAAAATGCAGTTAATTGTTTGCATTAGGTCTAGAAAATGGATACGAAAGGCTGCAGCACACTCTCAGAAATAGGTCAGTCAGCTATCACGACAGTGAAACATCTGCAGACAAGCGTAAAGCATGGCGAGATAACACATTGTGTCAGCTGATCAGCGCAGGAATGCCAGTTTATCAGCAGACAAAATGGACGCTGTGATAGCACGTTGTCGTGACCGAAAGCCCCAAACAACCCCTGGTGACGATTGCCAATAAGCATTTTGTCTACAGATTTACTCGCATTCCTTTGCTGATCTGCTGATGCAATGTGTAAACATACCTAACTGAGGTTTTACATAGCTGTATGGTTGCGTGTTTGGTGTTGAGTGAGTGACTTTAGGTTTACGCCGCAATCAGCAATATTCCAGCTATATGGCGGCGGTCTGTAAATAATCGAGTCTGGACCAGACATCCAGTGATCAGCAGCATGAGCATCGATCTACGCAATTGGGATACGTTGACATGTGTCAACCAAGTCAGTGTTAGTCGCCTCTTATGACAAGCATGGGTTTACTGAAGACGAATTCTAACCCGGATCTTCACGGGTCTGTTCGGCCTTGAAACATGACGAGATAACACATTGTGTCAGCTGATCAGCACAGGAATGCCAGTTTATCTGTAGACAAAATGGACGCTATGGTGAGGCGTGGTCGTGGACGCTAACTGACGATCACGCACCTCCACGAGTCTCGGACGTCACTATTCCGTGGTAGGTAGACTTAGTCTCTGAAAATGTAAAATTTTGATTGAAATTTCAGTCTTGACCTGTTTGGTAATCAGATCGTGATTTTGCTCGTCAACCCCACTATCCACTGAAAACTGATATCAGCCATTTCCTGCACAAAAATATTCACTTTTACTGTGGCACTATACACTCTTAAAAAAATAAGATTTTGAGAATATTGGACTCATGTAGATGTGGCCAAAACAATACAAATGTGCTATTTCTTTCCAAAGTAAATTGATTATAACCAGCTTCAGCTCAAAAAGCGGCAATTTTAACTTTACCCCTTGTTTTAGAAGCGTTTGATGTAATATTCACCAAAACATCATCAAGAAAACATGCAAAGCAAAATGCACGTGCAACTAAGCGGAAAAGCATGCGGTATTGATCATTATAAAAAGGCAAATGTGTTCAATTTTGTCATTCGTTTTTGCCTGGAAAAGAGGAAATCATCATGCCACGACTGAGTGTCGCCAATCGAAAGATCGCCATAGGTCGCCTTAAAGCTGGGGAGTCGCGGTCTGCTTTTATCAGAGCACCATATTTCGCCTTTGGGATCGTTTCCTGCGATCCAGTTCCGCCCAAGATCGCCCGAGAAGCGGCCGTCCAAGGGTTACCACCCAAGCCCAGGACCGCTACATCCGGGCTGCTTACTTGCGTCATCGTCTTGCCACAGCCGTGGACTCTGCACAAAGCATCCCTGGTTTGAGAAGAATTTCAAACCAAGCTGTCAGGAATCGATTGCGTGAAGTGGGGATTCGACCAAGAAGGCCAGTTGTCGCCCCTGTCTTGCGAGGCTTCTATCTGCGCAATCGCTTGCGGTTGTGTCGTAGAGTCAGGAACTGGAACCTTAGGAACTGGAGACGAACCTGGTTCAGTGATGAATCACGATTTCTTCTTTACCAGCGAGATGGAAGACAGCGTGTTTACCGTCGGAGAAATGAACGTTTTCCCCTAATTGCATTCGACAGATTCGGTGAAGAAAGTGTCATGGTGTTGAATGCGATATCCAGCACACAAAGAAATCGGTACATCATAGAAGTCCTTGCACGTCAAATGCTTCCGATTATGGACCGACAGAGGGAGTCGTTCCAGCATGGCCATCGCATTGCATGAAGAGTGGGGAAGAATTCCGCAAGAGCGGAATGTTTGATATTTCACATTTTTACCATTGAAATTACATAACATATTGCTCTTAAACTAACCCAATAAATTCTTCTAAAATGACTTTTACGTTTCTTTCTTTTTTGAAGATTCTAGATTCTTACATCGTTATCAAGCTAAAAGTGACTGCAACTAGATGATGAGAAGTATAGATAGATAGATAGATAGATAGATAGATAGATAGATAGATAGATAGAAATTAAAGACAGACTGACAGACAGATAGATAGATATAGATAGAAATTAAAGTGACTGCAACTAGGTGATAAGTATGGATATGCAGACAGACAGCCACAGACCGATAGACCGACAGACAGATAGATAGATAGATAGATAGATAGAAAGTGACTGCAACTAAGTGATAAGTATAGATAGACAGACAGACATATAGATAGATATACTTTATTTCCTCCATTGCCACGAATACATGTTATGATAAACAGCAGATTAACATTAACAACAGCGTGTAATGGAATTATAATTGAATCAGTAGCACATAATTGCGCAGGTGATGAACCACTAAACAGGAGGGACTAAGTAGAAGCAAGCTGATACGGTGCTATGATAGAGTCTTTGGCTTGGGTAATTCTTCGTACTCCGTTGACATGTAGTACCCTTGGCTTCTGTTGATCAAAGGTTTCTAATGGCGACAATCGATGGCTTTCGTGAAGTCCTGATTTATGCTGGATAGGATAAAATGGATAAGGAATTTGTGTTGGTGATCTGAGAGGGCTGATTTGCTGTTTGGCGGTGGATACATATAATAGACAGTACCCAGTCAGTGCCACGATGTAAGATGCCCCGTGTCTCTGCGGTCACAGACGTTACTGACATCCAGTATTGTGACAAATACTGATGATTTTCGTCATTCTTGTTGATAACTGACTTTCATCCTTTATCTCCATCCATATGTTTATTTAAAGTACATTTTGTATCTGTTTACTTCAGATGGCGACCACCAAGAAACTGACAGACAACCACCTCACCTGTGTCATCTGTACGGAGGTGTTCACACACCCTGCCACACTTCACTGTAATCACACATTCTGTAAGTCCTGTCTGTTGAAATACACCAACACACAGCCTGAAGCAGTACAAGCCAAGTCCATCCCATGTCCCTCCTGTAGACAACTGACGAAGGTGACCACCCCTGACAGTCCAGTGGAGGAGTGGGTCAGTCAGCTGAAACCAAGCCACGTCATACAGGGACTGATGGACGACTTTGGACCAGGGACAGAACGTAAATAATTATCAGCTCGTGTTCAATAAGCATGATATTATTTATATATGAATGGATAAACTGGATAACAGCAGAAAAACGCTTCCAGATGTTTCCAGACTGCATCGCACAGCTGTAATACTGCCGAATGAAGCCTCAAACAAACACATGGTTCACATGCTAAAAAACACATGCTGTAGTCACAATTGTACCATCGACTCAGCTTTTAGCAGATATTTCTTACGAAATGGAATGGGTTTTGTCGTCCCTATCGATTTGGATAACTTTATTCGTTAATCAGATATAATATGAACATTTTGTTTGGCTTCATATACAATTGGTAATGCATTTCAGTCTGCAACCTTTAAGCCTCAATCAGCAGACACTTATATTTTCTCTGCACCACAACACAGTTTGATACCAAGATATTTCAAAATAATAGTGAGCATATTATTACTAGTATATTCAGCACAAAAAGCTACCAGATATTTGTCACAACAGACTCTGTCGCCGCTGTTTGTTATTAAGTTCTCAAATGTAAACGTCCGCGCTGTGTGTTGTTACTGATGCCGATGTAAACGTCTAACGTGTTTGTTATTACAGCTGGCGACGTTGATAACTGCAGTGTTTGCAAAACTCAAGGGAAGACAACTCCAGCCAGCTCGTGGTGCTCCGTCTGTGACGATATCTTCTGTGATGGATGTCTGAAGATGCACAATATGATGCCAATTTTACGTGACCATGAACTTGTGGATTTGTCTGATACTACCAAAAGAAAAACTAAGCAACGTCTCATGTGTACAATCCACAAAGGCGAACAGATCATGTTCTTCTGTAAAGATTGTACGATAGCCATTTGTCATATATGCTGCAGCATAAAACACAGGAAATGTGACGATGTTGATACTTTAGATAACATGACCCCTGTTGTCAGAGAACATCTGTCAAATCAAAACCAAGAACTGAAAATTAAAATGACAACTTCAGAAAATGAGATAATCTTCAAGAAATCTGAAATTGAAGAAATAAAGACAAATGCGCAAAGTATCAGAAATGAAATCAGAAAATTACGACAGACTGTGGTAGAAGTGATTTTAAGGAAGGAGAAACAACTCCTTGATAAAGTCGACCGATCTACTGATGAACAATTACAGAAATTACAAGCACAAATAACTTCCCAGGAGATTCAGCTGCAGATGTACCAGCAACAGTATGAGTTCACAGCCAATGCTGTGGCGTCCAACTGTGAGATGGACATGTATGCCGTCTATGAGTTGATGGGTGAGATGACAGACAACAGAAACAGGGACAACCAACCCGCACCAGGAAGGGTTGTATTCACTCACGACATGGATAATCTGAGTAAAGCTTTGGATGAGCTCGAGCTGGGAGATGTTGAAGTTGTCGGTGCTGTGAGTGTCCGCCAGTCTACCCTGTTCTACATCACACTATTGACTGTCAGGCAGATGATGACAGTGAAAATCCTTATTTGTATGACGTCACAGTGCTGACTGTTGAGGGTATAAAAGTAACAGTAGTTGCAGATTTCTCTAACAAGAGAGTCAAAACATTTCACACATCAAAACCAAATACGCGTGGTATTCATCTTCTACTTTCCAATGGTCCTTGTCAAATAGCAAAGTTAAGTGAGAGTCGGATAGCTGTCTGTGTTCCAGACAGTAAGGAAATAGTTACAGTGGATGTTACCCCAGAGCCTGTATTGTTGTCTACAATCAAAACAAGAAAAATGTACTACGCTCTGGCCTGTCTGAGTCCTTCACAGCTGGTGGCAGGTACAAATCAAAGGTCGCGCTCTGTGGACATACTGGATATGACAGGGAAGATACTGAAGTCTATCAACACGGGTGTCATAGAGAATCCAGATTGTATCCATGTCACCAGTAATAACAACTTGATAGTCAGTGAAGTATCAGTAAATTCCCTCGTATCTGTGACCAGGGAAGGAGAAGCTGTTTTCACCTACACTCCCACAGGGGATAGAGCTTTGAAAGGGCCACGTGGTATCACAACAACCAGCACGGGAGATATCCTGCTTGTAGACTGCGACTCTCACAAGGTGATTCAGCTGACCCGGTCGGGTCAGTTTGTCAGAGATGTCCTCACACAACAGAATGGTCTGGAATATCCTCGTGGCATCTGTCTTGATGGGGACGGGTTTCTGTATATTGCGTGTAAGCACGATAAATTTAAATGAAAGGTGCGTGTACAACGTGAGACATGTTTAGAATCCGTGCCGATCTTAATCACATGAAACGAGAGTGCCAGTCACCGTATTTCGAAAGGAACTCCCAAAGTGAAGACATTGATGAAGTATTGGAATAGGCTGTCACAGAGAGAAACCCCAGTTCATGGCCCTATGTGACACAGAGTTGCAGGATCACCTGCTATAGGAGAACTATACCACATGATCACCCGGGTCCCATTGACATGGGTCAGCTGACCAACAGCAAAGATATTATCAGATTATGAAAAACACAATTTTTAAGTTTCTCGATAGTGTCGTGGAAGTCGATACATTTTAAATCCGAGCTCGTGTATTTTCATTCTCCCCAAAAATGTCTGCTGATGAGCAATATTAAGTGAGTGAGTAAGTAAGGTTTTACGCCGCCTTTAGCAATGTTCCAGCAATATCACGAAAGGGGACACCAGAAATGGGCTTCACACATTGGAGAATCGAACCGGGGTCATCGGCGTGACGAGCCACTAGGCTACCCTACCGCCCCCGGTTGAGCATTAACATACGAACAGAAAACACAGAGTTACGGACTTTATGGTATTGCGGCAACTTCCCCAGGGTTCCAGATTAACTTCTTAACTTACAGTTCGTGATCTCAGTTTAATGTTGCCTATAGTGGATGATACGAGAACTAGTTTAGTGCTTTTAGGTATTGACCATAGTCAGCATTGTCAGTGATTGAAACAGCCGTAAAATAATACATTACAGAATCGTAACGATGTCTGTTATTGTCAAGATGCATCTTAAGATAAATCTTTACAAGTTTCACCACCGTTGCTCTTCGTTTTTAGTCAAGGGATACTGAACACTGTACATTAACCCAATTTATCAACATTTTGGGGGGAATATATTGTATCTCGTCACTTCCTCATCAATTTTAAACATGACAGGCCATACTTCGGTGATCTGTTCGAAAGGGGGGGGGGGTGTAAGGGGGACACCATTTACTTGTGAGGTCGTCAATGGTGGTTCATACACACAACAATCAATATTCAAGTACTGCGGCATCGTCATGGTGACCATACCTTCCAGCGTTGTTGACATTCACGTTTTTGTGTATTCCTCTCAGATTGCAATTTAATTATTATCAGATTTCCATTTCAGTCATGTTTTTGCTTTAATCAGATTAAAATATGTGACATTTATAGTTTAAATAGACGGAGTTTGGTTTTCAAGGGATATACAACACCATGATCATGGTTTATTTTCAACAGGATTTTCCTATGTCTGGATTGCTCAGGATTTGGGTGATTATGAAATATGTATGAGCATGTTTTCCCAAAGATTTGTAGACATTCAATTTCAAGAATGGTATGATAAGCTGTCAGGTCGGAGTGATTTCTCATTATACTCTAACTTTAATCTCTGTTAGATACAAAGAAACATGTAATAGTATTGTTTAGCCTCAAAGATTTACTCCGTATAAAACTGGAAACTACATTTGCGGTCTAATAAGTTAAAAGTGAGTAAATTGAGATGTTATAATGACATTGAATGTACTAAACTTATTTGTTAATATTATAGAAGATGAGATCCACCGTGATATTAGTTTGTCCATGTTATATGGATTTTAAGGAGCAACTTATACTCCGTTTCCCTCTATAAATAAGTTATACCAACTTAAACTTGAAACATGGGACTTGTGCGAAACCTGTGAAACCTTGCTACATTCCTTAAGAGAAATGTACCAACTTAATTATGTATCTAAATCTACTTTTGTATACGCATCCATAATTCTATACAGTATGGCTTTGGGGCCAAGTGCACGGAATAAACTTGTCACTTGTCACAACATCATGTTCATTTCATACTTATATCAAACAGCGTATGGTGCTTCGTTAATGCTTATGTGTATAATTTTTATTTGGCATTTTTTGTGCAAAAATATCCGTAAATGATCTCGACATTTTGTCCATTGTCTACATTCTGCCTGTTACGATAGCATGGTTATTGCAATATCATGTCGATAGCAGTTACAAGAAATATAACCACAGTCAACAACATCTGCGGTGGTTGTAACATTGATATATATCCCATAAAAAGATTGTTTTTAACAGTTCCTGTAGTGACACTTAGGCAGTAAAATTCATCGCTTGAAATTGTTTCCAACGGTTTGGCGTTGCGTGCCTGTAACCGGCTGACTTTGGATTCTAGAGGGAATAACACTCAACACAAGTATACACAATAAATATGTTTCGTGATACCTACCACGCCGACGCACTGAGAATGTGTGTTATCTTGATTTTGTTAATTCGTAGCAATATTTTACATAATCTATTCATACATGTCCATAGCCGCCGTCAAGACATCACGTGACACATGAGCGACGAAACGTCACGTGACACACAAGAGGCCGGTTACCAGGAAGTGAAGACGCGGAGGGACAGGCCCGTCGACAGCGGTGTAGCTATTGAGGTATGTCAAACATTTAGTCAATATCATACAAATATACAGATAACTTTTTGTAATATTGCCGTGTTGCGATTTCTATTGACATGTTTTTGTTGTGTTTTACTTCTGGCTTTATGTGCACTGAAGTTTCACTTCAATACAGAAAGTAGGCTTGGTAATCACATAACCCAACATATTCAAGTCGAATCACATCTGTATATGTCTGCATAATGTCAATTAGCTGCTGAGATATCATTGCCGAAACGGTCTACCCCCAGGATGCCTTTCTACACAGTATTTGTGATATCAACATTAACTGACACCGAACAAGGTAGACAAACGAGAACAGTGAAGGCACTGTCACAATAGTCAAGTTTATAACAGAGTTATGTCCCATTAAGAAACAAGGCCGATAGACTTGTGCGGGCCACAGGCCCTTGTGTATTTGCAAGGATTAATGATTAAAACAATATTGTTTTTGAGATGACCCCCCGACTCGAAATGCTTCACAGTACATATACAATACATTATGACAAAGCCGGACACTTCGGTCTAACTCACCCAGTAAGGTCGCGTGTTTGGCCTGGAAACATGACGAGATAACGCATTGTGTCAGCTGATCTGCACAGGAATGGCAGTTAATCTGTGGACAAAATGGACGCTGTGATGAAGCGTGGTGGTGGACGCAAACTGACGATCACGAACTACCATTGGTAATCGGGAAATAACGCCAAGTGCTTTCCGGGATCATTTCCATTCCTCTTCATGAAATAACACTGAGTGAGATTAAGGAGAAATGTTACAGTTCAAGACTACGGTCTGGAATCTCCTCGAGTCTCAGACGTCGTGGTCCTGTGATAGGCAGACTAACGCTTAGTTTCTAATGTATATAATTTTGAATGCAACAAATAATTCCTTTTAAGTTTGGAAGCCAAATAATGAGAGGTATATATACACAGTAATACTATGATTAACGTGTAATTAAATTACGACTGAAAAAGTAGAACATAATAAGATGGAACAGGCGGGAACTAATAACAACAAGTAACACAGATTATGAAGCCATTAAGTAGCAACAGGCTGGTGCTAAATACATGGCTTTAGTAGCTTGTTGACAGAGATAAAAAAATTATTTACAAAAAAATAAAAATGAATTTGAATGTGACAGAGATTTGATATTGATACTTTGAAATAATAACTCCAAGATATTGATACTCAATAAGTTTTCCTTAGGTTCAACTAACTGGTTGAAATATCAATAGGAACATTTCCATTTATATATGGGTGTTACCCCCATCAATCCTTAGTCCAGTGTCTGACAATTGGGATGTCTAACTAATGGAAATAGCAAGGAGGGATTCATGTAGCAACAACAAGCTGATCATGTGCTATGATCAGCTTGAGTAATTTTCCCTCCCCCAATGGTAGTAGTACCTTTGGTCTCTCTTGATCAAAGGTTTGTGGCAGCGAACTTCGATGGCTACCAAAAGCCTTTTTTCGTGGAGTCCTGATTCTTGATGGATAGGATTTCAACTTTGTTGTCAAAAAGGTTTAAATGGATAGGGAATTTGTGTTGGTGATCTGAGAGTTCGGATTTGCCGTTTGGGGCTGGGTGCATGGACAATACCCAGTCAGTGCCATGAAATAAGTTGGCCCGTGTTTCTGTGGTCACAGACGTTACTGACACTTAGTATTGTGACAAATAGTAATGATTTTCGTCATTCTTGTTGAAAACTAACTCTCACCCTCTATCTCCATCAGTGTGTGTCCTTAAAGTATCTGTGTACTTCAGATGGCGACCACCATGAAACTGACACCTCACCTGTGTCATCTGTACTGAGGTGTTCACAGACCCTGCCACACTTCACTGTAATCACACATTCTGTAAGTCCTGTCTGTTGAAATACGCCAAAAAACAGCCTGAAGCAATACACGCCAAGTCCATCCCATGTCCCTCCTGTAGACAACTGACGAAGGTGACCACCACTGACAGTCCAGTGGAAGAGTGGGTCTGTCAGCTGAAACCAAAACACGTCATACAGGGACTGATGGACGACTTTGGACCTGGAACAGAAGGTAGCTTATCAATAATTTCATGTTCAATAAGCATATCATGTAAAATATATGAATGAATAATTAGCTCCATGAATGTGGAAATAGCAGTGACGAAAAACACTCCATTGTTTCTAGACCAGGTCATACAGATGTAATACTGCTGAATGCAGCGTCAAAAAACACATTCTCATGTTTTAGTCACAGTTGTACAATCGACTCTGATTGCTTACGAAATGGAAAGGGTTTCTTCAAACAGAATTCGTTTGTCCAGATATATCATGAACATTTTGTTTAGTTTATTTTAAAAAAAAAAAAATTAAATAAATTCAATCTGCAACCTTTAAGCCTCTGTTAGCAAACACTTATCTTTTTCTCTGCACCAAAGACACTATGATACCAAGATATTTCAAAATAATAATGAATATGTTATTATATTCAGCACAAAAACCTGGCTGATATTTGTCATAACAGACTGCTGTAAATATCTCTGCTGTTTGTTATTAAGGTCTCCGATGTAAATGTCCTTGCTATTTGTTGTTACTTATGCTGGTGTAAACGTCTAACGTGTTTGTTATTACAGCTGGCGATGTTAATAACTGCAGTGTTTGCCCAGCGACAGAAAGGGTTGTATTCACACACGACATGGACAAGCTGAGTAAAGCAGTGGATGAGCTACAGCTAGGGGATGTTGAAGTTGTCCGTGGTGTAAGTGACCACCAGTCTACCCCTGTTCTACATCACACTCTTGACTGTCAGGCAAATGATGGGGTTTCTCGTTTGTATGACGTCACATTGTTGACTGTTGAGGGTATAAAAATAACAGTAGCTGCAGATTACTTTAATAAGAAAGTCAAAACTTTTCACACATCAAACACAAATACGCATGGCTATCATCTCCTACTTTCAAATAGGCCTTGGCAAATTGCAAAGTTAAGTGAGAGTCGGATAGCTGTCTGTGTTCCAGACAGTAAGGGAATAGTTACAGTGGATGTTCCTCCACATCCTGTATTGCTGTCAACTATGAAAACAAGAAAAAAGTACTTCGCTCTAGACTGTCTTAGTCCTTCACAGCTGGTAGCAGGTACAAACCTACAGTCTCACTCTGTGGACATACTGGACATGACAGGGAAGATACTGAAGTCTATCAACACGGGTGTCATAGGGAATCCAGACTATATCCATGTCACCAGAAATAACAACTTGATAGTCAGTGAAGGATTATTAGACTCCCTCGTATCTGTGACCAGTGAAGGAGAAGCTGTTTTCACCTACACTCCCACAGGGGACAGAGATTTGAAACGACCACAGGGTATCACAACAACCAGCACAGGAGATATCCCGCTTGTAGACCGCATCTCCCACAAGGTGATTCAGCTGACCGGGTCGGGTCAGTTTGTCAGAGATGTCCTCACACAACAGGATTGTCTGGAATCTCCTCGTGGTATCTGTCTTGATGGGGACGGATTTCTGTATGTTACATGTAAGCATTGTGTCAGAGTATTCAGATTTAAATGAAAGATGCGTGTACAAAGTGAGACATGCTTAGAATCCGTGCCGAGTTTAATGACAAGAAACCATTCCAGCGTCAAAGAGCACCGTTCACCATTTTTCGAAAGTAAGTCCCAAAATTAATACATTCATCAAATATTGGAACAGGCTGTCACAGAGAGAAACCCCAGTTCCTGGCCCTACGTAGTATACATAATTGCAGGATGACCTGCTGTAATATAACTGTACCACATGACCACTTCTTTTCAAATACTGTGTTTGGATTATACAGTCAGTCAGATATGTCTGCCTATGAGCAGTGACATACTAACAGAAAACAGAGAGTGGCGGATTTCATGTTATTGCTAGGCCTGTCAATCACAATCGCGGCAATTTCACCAGGGTTCCAAAATAATTTCTTATAATATACTGTTGGTTTGTTAAATCATACTGTTGCTTATAGTGGACGCTTTAATGAGTGAATTATTTGGGATTGAATTTTTGTTTGTTTGTTGTTTAACGCCACACACAGCAATATTCCAGCTATACGGCGGCGGTCTGTAAGTAAATAAGTAAGTAATCGAGTCTGGACCAAACAATCCAGTGATTAACACCATGAGCATCGCTCTACGCAATTGGGATCCCCTTAGCCGCCTCTTACCACAAACATGGGTTGCTGAAGACTGTTTCTAACCCTATCACATGTTTGTTTTATTCTTGGTAGCACTATTCCTGCTTCTTGGTGGTGGCGTGTAAACCGTAATACTATAATCGACCATATAATCAAATGATTGATATTAAGAGCAATGACTTAGGACTACAATGATCAAGGATGTCATAGAGACAGACCGCTTCCTGCACAATGTCGTAACTTGCTACACACAGGTTGGTGGGGGCATATCTATCCTGAATCCAAGTGTGGCCTTGATTAAAAATGGAGGAAAAACAACATGAAATGAAACTATATGTTTAAAGTGTATCTCGTTAGTGTTTTTGTATCTGTTAATGAGACAAGGGACTAGACAATGTAGAATCCTAACAATGTTTACCAAACCAAAGTAAAATTAAACATATTACACAGTGGGCTGCTGTTTTGAGTATTATTCAGCATGCGGCAGCTTAATGTGGAGAAAGGGGTGGTTGGGTAGCCTCGTGGTAAAAGCGTTTGCTCATCACGCCGAAGACCCGGATGCGATTCCCCACATAGATACAATGTGTGAAGCCCATTTTTCGTGTCCCCCGCAGTGATATTGCTGGAATATTGCTAAAAGCGCCGAAAACTACAATCGCTTAATGTGGGAAAGGTTCTTTCTCACTCATTCACTCACTCACTCACTCACCCACTTAGTGTGTGAACGTCTCCCGCCACTATAGCAGCGGTGCGACAGTGTACTATCTACATGTATCATTATCCTTTTTTATTTCATAAGATTGTAATAAGCATGATATATTAAATTGTCTGTATACTTAACGAAATGACACGTTGTTAGTTTCTGATGGATATATAAAAACACAAAATACTCATGGTGAGTCCCAATGCACTGAAAATGTTATATTTTATGGTGAAAGCTAGAGACGGGTTTACTTTCCACTATTTGGTCGTGAACTGTTACATTAAGGGCGTTTCTACCAACGAAACCCATCCTGAATACTATAGATTTTATGACCTGAAGCCAGTATCAGAGCATACATATGCCATATACTGACATCATTTAGAGCATGACACTCTTGGAGAAATAAATCAACATCTGAAGCCAATATCAGAGAATACATATGCCATATACTGACATCATTTAGAGCATTACACTCTTGGAGAAATAAATCATCATCTGAAGCCAGTATCAGAGCATACATATGCCATATACTGACATCATTTAGAGCATGACACTCTTGGAGAAATAAATCAACATCTGAAGCCAGCATCGGAGCATACATATGCCATATACTGACATCATTTAGAGCATGACACTCTTGGAGAAATATATCAACACCTGAAGCCAATATCAGAGCCTACATATGCCATATACTGACATCATTTAGAGCATGACACTCTTGGAGAAATAAATCACCATCTGAAGCCATGTATTTTTATGTCAGTAATTATTCAGCCAGTTTATTATTTTGGTTTAACCCATGCTTGTCGTAAGAGGCGACTAAGGGGATCCGGTGGTCAGTGGTGAATTGGTTCACGCATATACTAGTTTCCAAATTGCGTAGATAGATGCTCATGCCATATTGATCACTAGATTGTCTGGTTCGGGGTTGTAAATTACATACCGCAGCCATGTAGCTGGAATATTGCTGTGTGCGGCCTTAAACAACAACCAACCAACCAGCCAAACGAATGTTCTCAACATTTTCATCAGCTGACACTTGGACAATATCATTATCAGTGTCAATATCAATGTACAGCGTACCTGCATAAAACTGAAATTTGATTCAAACAGCAAAAGGAATTACTCACACACGTTTTATACAACAGCTGTATTTCTTATAAATACCTCATCGACATACCGATGTTGTGTGTTATGTTGATATTTTTATTATTCGAAAACATTCGTACAATAATTTGCATGTGCACCGACACATGTCCACACCCTCCGTCAAGACATCACGTGAGCGAAGACAGGTCACGTGACACACAAAAGGCCGATCACCAGGTAGTGAGACTCAGAGAGACAGCCCGTTCACAACGGTGTAGTTATTGAGGTACGTCAAACATTTAGTCAACATTATACAAACAGATTACTTTTTTTGTAATATTATCGTGTTACGATTTCTGTTGTGTTTTACCTATATTGGTATCTGTACCGACGTTTCACTTCAATACAGAAAGCAGACCTGATAATCACATATCCTTACCTTTTGAGGTCGAATTACATCGTATATGTCTGTATAATGTCAATTAGCTGCTGAGATATCATTGCCGAAACAATCTACCCCCAGGATGCCTTTCTACACAGTATTTGTGGTATCAACATTAACTGACACTGAACGATAACAGTCAAGGTATGGTCACAATATACATGTTTAGATCAGGGTTGTGTCCCATTAAGAAACACTTGAGTAAGTGAAGTTAGTTTTACGCCGCTTTTAGCAATGTACCAGCAATATCACGGCGGGGGACACCAGAAATGGGCTTCACACATTGTACCAATGTGTGTAAATCGAACCAGGGACTTTGGCGTGACGAGCGAACGCTTTATAAGTAAATTATGACCACTAGGCTAACCCACCGGTTCCCTTGAAGAAACAAACCTGATGGACCATGTCGACGTTTCCGAAAGAAATATAAACGTTGTTGACCCTTTTTGTATAAAGCATCTGTATTATCATTCCAGTTCAATTTGTCATCAATTATTGTACCAAGATATTTGTAGTTCTTAACAATTTCAACATCTGAACCATGGACAGTGACTGGTAAATGCACAGGCTTACGTGTTCTGAAATCAATCATCATCTCTTTAGTTTTAGACACATTGAGCAGTAAGTGGTTTTCTTTACACCAGCTTGTGAGATTCACGATTTCCTGTCTGTAGGCGTCCTCGGTGTTGGCCAACAGGCTTACAAGAGCTGCGTCAATAGCAAACTTAACAACAGAGCAATCACCGTGCTGGCTAACAAAGTCATCTGTGTACAATATGAACAGCACCGTTGAGATTACGAAACCCTGTGGGGCTCCAGTGTTGGTTATCGATTGGATCAGATAATAAAGGACGTGCATTTGTAATCGTGTGTGAATTTTACAATATCGTGAGAGATCCGGTCTCTGTGCAAGTTATTTTCTCTTTTTCTCCAGATGTTTTGTTCATACTCGAGATACGTCTGCTTACTTGGGAATTAACAGCTGATAATAGTGATATTTCTTAGCAGTGTGTAGGAGGTTATTACGTATACTTGTCGAGCGGCTAGAATTGCCAGGAGCATGGGTTTAATATGAGCACAGAATAGATCTTTCGTTATTGAGTTGCAATCATTATTACGGAGCTTTCCTAATAGTTGTAATCTACATTTGTCTATGTAACTATTCATTGACCACATTTCTAAGTTTGAAATAGACGAATCTGTTCGATGTCTTTTACCAATGTCTTGTATGCGTCGATCGAAAATAGCACTAAGTGCTTTCAAACATTTCGAGTTCATTGCCGTATATGGCAGGTAACACATTTCCTATCCATAAAAGCTTGTAGATAGAATCATTCGTTTCCATATGTTAACACACGTAGCAAGGTGGAAGTCAGAGTTGTTCAGGCCAAGAGATCATAATGAATTTACACATTGCCTTGTTCTTGTGCAACAAATATCCTTTCTGCACTCATAATAAGTGCATTTATGTGTGTACTGACAGATACAAACAAAGGACGAGACGTGTAATGTTCGCTCCTATCTATCTGCACATACCTAATTGAGATGTCAGATCACAGTATGGTTGCGTGTTTGGCCTGGAAACATGACGAGATAACACATTGTGTCAGCCAGCACAGGAATGGCAGTTAATCTGTTGACAAAATGGGCGCTGTGATGAGGTGCGGTCATGGACGCAAACTGACGATCACGAATCACCATTGATGGTCGGGAAATAAGGCTCATTGCTTTCCGGGATCATTTCCATTCTTCTTCATCAATTAACACTGAGTGAGAGCAAGGAGAAATCTTACACTCCAAGACCGTGATCTGGAATCTATCTCCTCGAGTCTCTTGTGAAAGCTAAACTAACTTTTATAGTCTCTGAATATATAATTATAATTTTGAATGCAACAAATAATTCCTTTTAAGTTTGGAAACAAAATGATGAGAAGTATATATACACAGTATGTTATAACAAACAGTAGATTAACATTAACAACAACGTGTGATTGAATTACTATCGAAAAAGTGACACATAATATGGTGAGTCCAGGTGAGAACAAATAGCAACCAACAACACGGGTTATGAAGCAAATAAACAGGAGGGATTAAGTAACAACAAGCTGATGCTACGATAGAGTCCACAGCTTGAGTAATTCTCGTCGGTCAAAGGTAGTAGTACCCTTTGTCTCTGTTGATCAAAGGTTTGTGGTAGCAAAATTCGATGGCTTCCAAAAGTCCTGATTCTTGCTGGATGGGATTTCATCTTGGTTGTCAAACAGGTTTAAATGGATAGGGATTTGTGTTGGTAATCTGAGTGTTCTGATTTGCTGTTTGGCGTTGTGTGCATGCACAATACCCAGTCAGTGCCATCAAGTAAGTTGCCCCATGTCTCTGCGCTCACAGACGTTACTGGAATTGGTATTTTGACACAGACTAATCATTCTCGTTATTCTTGTTGAAAGCTGACCTCTTTTCTCCATCCATTCATGTTTCATTATACTCTATCTTTAATTCAGATGGCGACTGCTAGGAAACTGACAGACAACCACCTCACCTGTGTCATCTGTACGGAGGTGTTCACAGACCCTGCCACACTTCACTGTAATCACACATTCTGTAAGTCCTGTCTTTTGAAATACACCAACACACAGCCTGAAGCAATACAAGCCAAGTCCATCCCATGTCCCTCCTGTAGACAACCGACGAAGGTGACCACACCTGACAGTCCAGTGGAGGAGTGGGTGAGTCAGCTGAAACCAAGCCACATCATACAGGGACTGATGGACGACTTTGGACCAGAGACCGAAGGTAACTAATCAATAGTTTATGTTCAAATAGGATATTGTTTATAATGAATGGAGAAACGCCATGAATGTTGAAACAGCAGTGGCGCAAAACACTTCCAGATGTTTCCAGACTGCATCGTACATTTGCTATACTGCTGGATAACCTTGTTGTCTTTCTTCAAACACAAGTCGTTTCTCAAGATATATTATGAATATTTTGTTTAGTTTATTTTCAAAGATCTTTGTAATACATTTCACGCTTTAAACTTTAAGCCTCTATCAGCAGACACTTTTTCCATCACAACAAAATTTGATACCAAGATATTTCAAAAGTAATGATATATACTTTCCTACAGCCAGCACAAAACCTGGTTGATATTTGGTATTACAGACTCTGCTGTAAAAATCTCAGCTGTTTGTTATGAAGGTCTCCGATGTAAATATCTCCTTGCTGTTTGTTGTTACAGATGCTGGTGTAAACGTCTAACGTGTTTGTTATTACAGCTGGAGATGTTAATAACTGCAGTGTTTGCAAAACACAAGGGAAGACATCTCCTGCCACCTCGTGGTGCTCCATCTGTGACGATGTCTTCTGTGATGGATGTCTGAAGATGCACAATATGATGCCAATATTACGTGACCATGCAGTTGTTGTTGTGTCTGATACTACCAAAAGAAAAGCCAAGCAACGCTTCATGTGTACAATCCACAAAGACAAACAGATCAAGTTGTTCTGTAAGGATTGTAGGGTGGCCATTTGTCATATATGCAGCAGTATAAATCACAGAAAATGTGACGATGTTGATATTTTAGAAAATATGACCCTGTTGTCAGAGAACACCTGTCAAATCAAAACCATGAACTGAAAATCAAAATGACAACTTCAGAAAATGAGGTTATCTTCAAGAAATCTCAAATTAAAGAAATAAAGACAAATGCACAAAGTATCGGAAATGAAATCAGAAAATTACGACAGACTGTGGTAGAAGTGATTTTACGGAAGGAGAAACAACTCCTTGATAAAGTCGACCAATCTACTGATGAACAATTACAGGAATTACAAACACAAATAAAATCCCAGGAGATTGAGCTGCAGATCTACCAGCAACAGTATGAGTTCACAGCCAAAGCTGTGACGTCCAACTGTGAGATGGACATGTATGCCGTCTATGAGTTGATGGGTGAGGAGTTGACAGACAACAGAGACACGGACAACCGACCAGCACCAGGAAGGGTTGTACTCACTCACGACATGGACAAGCTGAGTAAAGCTTTGGATGAGCTCAAGCTGGGAATGGTTGAAGTTATCTGTGGTGTGAGTGACCACCAGTCTACCTCTGTTCTACATCACACAATTGACTGTAAGGCAGATGATGACAGTTGGGATCCTTGCTTGTATGACGTCACAGTGTTGACTGTTGAGGGTATAAAAGTAACAGTAGTTGCAGATGAACATAACAAAAGCCTCAAAACATATCACTCATCAAAACCAAATACGCATGGTATTCATCTACCTCTTTCAAATGTTCCTTGGCAAATAGCAAAGTTAAGTGAGAGTCGGATAGCTGTCAGTGTTCCGTACAGTCATGAAGTAGTTATAGTGGATGTTACCCCACATCCTGTATTGTTGTCAACTATCAAAACAACAAAAAGTACTACGGTCTGGCCTGTTTGAGTCCTTCACAGCTGGTGGCAGGTACGTGTGAACAGTCTCACTCTGTGGACATACTGGACATTACAGGGAAGATACTGAAGTCAATCCACACGGGTGCCATAAAGAATCCAGACTATATCCATGTCACCAGAAATAACAACTTGATAGTCAGTGAAGGAAAAATAAAATCACTCGTATCTGTGACCAGTGAAGGAGAAGCTGTTTTCACCTACACACCCACAGGGGACAGAGCTTTGAAAGGGCCACGGGGTATCACAACAACCAGCACAGGAGATATCCTTCTTGTAGATCGCAACTCCCACAACGTGAATCAACTGACAGAGTCAGGGCAGTTTGTCAGAGATGTCCTTACACAACAGGATTGTCTGGAATATCCTCGTGGTATCTGTCTTGATGGGGACAGGTTTCTGTATGTTACATGTGAACGATATGTCAGAGCATTCAGATTTAAATGAAAGGTATCAGATGTAAATGAAAGATGCGTGCGGAAAGTGAGAGTTTAAGGCCCGTGCCGATTTGAATAACACAAAATGTTCAAGCGTCAAAGAGTACCTTTAACCATTTTTCGAAAGTAACTCCCAAAATTAAGACATTGATAAAGTATTGGAACAGGCTGTCATGGACAGAAGCCCGAGTTCGTGACCTTATGTATTATAGAGTTGCAGGATGACCTGTCTGAGTCCTTCATGGCTGGTGGCAGGTACATACCAACAGTCTCACTCTGTGGACATACTGGACATGACAGGGAAGATACTGAAGTCAATCAACACGGGTGTCATAAGAATCCAGACTATAACCATGTCACCAGAAATAACAACTTGATAGTCAGTGAAGGATTAATAGACTCCCTCGTATCTATGACCAGTGAAGGAGAAGCTGTTTTCACCTACACTCCCACAGGAGACAGAACTTTGAAATATCCATGGGGTATCACAACAACCAGCACAGTAGATATCCTTCTTGTAGACGGCCCCTCCTACGAGGTGATTCAGTGGACAGAGTCAGGGCAGTTTGTCAGAGATGTCCTCACACAACAGGATGGTCTGGAATCTCCTCGTGGTATCTGTCTTGATGGGTACGGGTTTATGTATGTTACATGCGAACGAGTTGTCAAGGTATTCAGGTTTAATTGAAAGATGCGCGTACAACGTGAGACATGCTTAGAATCCGTGCCGATTTTAATAACAAAAGTCATTCCAGCGTCAAAGAGCACCGTTCACCATTTTTCGAAAGTAACTCCAAAAGTTAATACATTGATCACATATTGGAACAGGTTGTCACAGAGAGAAGCCCCAGTTCATTGCTCTATGTAATACAGAGTTGCAGGATGACCTGCTTTAATAGAACCATGATACATGTCAGCTGACCAAGAACAATGGTATTGTCTGTTTATGAATATCTTTTCAAATCCTATGTTTGGAGTTAATAGTCAGCCAGATATGTCTGCTGATGAGCATTAACATACTAAAGAAATGAAACCATGGCTGTTTTGTTTCAGTTCGTAGTCTAACCAACCCAGATATTAGACTACGACCGGGACTACTTTTAAATGTTTGCTTTCATGTTGGAATCTGACCAGCTTTACTTCACATCAGCGTTTGCTAATTACAATCATCCAACCAAAACTAGGCGCAGATTGTTGAAAAGGTCTTATGGAACAATAGAAAAAATAACAGCAATGCATAATTGTTCCATATCACTGTACAGAGTAGCATAATTTGTCGGAGAAAATGCATTACTATGAACATTCGAGTTCAAATATATTTGTGAGCACGGAATAAAATCTTCTTCAGACATTCTGGACCCATTTGTTGCTGACACTGGCAATGGCAGTGAATGTGAAAGCATGTTTTTTGATGAACGTTTGCGCATGCGGGAAAAGCATAGATTAATAACTCTCATACAGGGCAAACTAAAATTCAATCATTCGCCTGTTACCAAGAATAACATATCAATTACTACAATTACTCTGCGCATTCAGGGGCACATTACATTGATCAAACAGCCCTTATCGTGTTCACATATATCAGATGGCACGCGCGCTGTAAGTGACATGTGAAGGCACGTGCACTACGAAATTTTCAAGGACCTTAAGTGTGAAAATAAACTTTTACTACGTGAGAGCGCAACTAAATATAGTGCATTGAATTTATCATTGTTTTGATAACGTTTACATGTAGCCATTTAATTATGTGTCATGGTTTAAGTCGGTTAGACCACTCGGACCTTGGCGTCTAATCGTTGAAGTGGTTAGTTAGATCACTCGACGCTACGCGCCTCGTGATCTAACTAACTGCTTCAACGATAAGACGCCATGTCCTCGTGATCTAACCTATACACAGAGAGTGGCGGACTTTATCTTAGTGCTAGGCCTGTCTATCACAATCGCGGCAACTTCACCACGTTTGCAAATTAGTTTCTTAAAATGTACTGTTGCTTTGTTAAACCTTACTGTTGCTTATAGTGCACGCTTTAATGAGTGAATTATTTGGGACTTATTAAGTGCTATTAAGTATTGTCTATAGTCAGCATCGTCAGTGATCGAACGTTTGTTTGTTGATTAATGCCACACTCCGCAATATTCCAGCTATACTTGGGCGGTATGTAACTAATCGAGTCTGGACCAAAACATACAGTGATCAACACCATGAGGATCCCCTTAGCCGCCTCTTAGTGCAAGCATAGGTTGCTGAAGAACAATTCTAACCCGGATCTTCACGGGTCACATGTTGACGGTGGCATGTAAACCGTATAATCGACCGCATAGTCTAATGATTGATATTAAGAGCAATGACTGACGACTATAATGATCAAGCAAGTCATAGAGCCTGGCCACACGCTCCACAAAGTCGTATCTTGCTGCACACAGGTTGGTGAGGACATATCTACCGCCTAGTGGTAAAAGCGTTGGCTCGTCACGCTGAAGTCCCGGATTTGATTCCCCACATGGGTACAATGTGTGAAGCCCATTTCTGGTGTACTCCGCAGTGATATTGCTAGAATATTGCTAAAACCGCCGAAAACTAAACTCACTCACTCACTCACTCACTCAGTGTGGGAAAGTCTCCGGCCTGCTGGAATATTGCTAAAAGCGCAGAAAACTAAACTCACTCACTCACTCACTCGCGCTCACTTAATGTGGTTCTTTGTCACTCACTCACTCACTCAGTGTGGAAAGTCTCCCGCCACTAAAGCAGCGGTGCGACAGTACACTATCTACATCAAAATACTTTCATCGTCAAACGACCGAGACCAAGGCTATTACATATCTCCTGCTTACTATCAACTCATCAAAGATCCATATCACTCACACTACAGACTTCACTATCACTTTGTTTATACTGCAGCCTTCACGTGTTAACACTGTCATCTACCTCAGGCTATATGCTACTTTTGTTAACTACTTCTCCATGCTATCGCAGTCCTAATTCCCACTGCACTGTAGAATCATCTCCTCAACCTTGTATATACTCCTCTCTATCCACATTCTGTTCATCACTTGCTCGATAACGGTGTTAGAACCAACGTCGTTCTCACTGTAATAAGTTGTTTTTCCTCATATTGTTATCCTTCCCAAGCGATGAGTTGTGCAGTGTGTCGCTGTGTTCTAATTAACCCACTTTCAAAAAGAAAATTTGTCATTAAAAGTCGAACAAAGAAATAATTTGAATACATTTAATCGTTCAGATCATAAATTTGCAAAAATGATTTGCTGTTAATGAAAGCTGAAAGTTGATCTACACATTGCAACATCATCAATCTTCAAAATAATACCCTGGGCGGTGGGGAAGCCTCATGGTTCGCTCGTCACGTTCGTTCGTCACGCCTAAGACGCTGCTTTTAGCAATATCCCAGCATTATCACGGAGAGAGACACCAGAAATGGGCTTCACATATTGTACCCATGTGGGAAATCGAACCCGGGTCGTCAACCACAAGGCTACCCCACCGCCCTCTGATATTTGACATCTGGATTTTGTCTGTATGAAAAGCCATCTATACTCAGCAGCAAAAAAAACAACGTCAGTACGAATTCAAAATTAGATAGGCTCTGTAATCAAATCATTACAGAAATGGACATAATAAGCGGATGAAAACATTTTTTGTGTACAATAGCGATACATCAATCAATAACGTTTGCAGTCCATTCAGACTCTTGACATCCGTATCTAGTGTGACCACCACGAGCGGCAATAACTGCAACAAAGTGTCTATGCATGGAGTGCACCAATCGATTGATGAAGGCAACTGGCACCTGGAACCACACTGTTAGAAAGATCTGGCGCAATAAATCGGCTTTGTTCGGCCTTGCTTTGACATTATTCAGTCTCCTCTGATTTTCATCCCAAAGATTTTCAATTGCGTTTAAATCAGCAAACTGCATAATGTTGACACCGTTTTGCTGCAGGAAGTAGCTCTGGTAATACGGGCCCGGGCGTTATCATGCTGGGAAATGTAGCTCCGGTGACGGGCGAAATGTGGTATGACGCGGGTCTGAGAGCTTGGTCGATGTAGCGCACCGCTGTGATGCCGCCTCCTCTCCCTTGACCAAGGTTCTGGAACACCACAGGACCCACTCTCTGGTTCAGGCCTATTCCACCCCATACCATGATGCTTGCACCTCTTCCATGAGTCTCTTTCCATAACACATTGGTCTGAGTAATCCTGGCCGTGTCGTCGCCATATTCTTGTTCTGCCATCTGTAGTTAATACGCAGTACCGACTCTTATCAGTAAACAGAACAGTTCTCCGTTGCCTGTATTGCCAGTTTTGGTGTTGCAGGGCAAACTGTAGACGTTCACGCCGATGACGAGGGTGAGGATAGGTCCACGGTAAGGTCTACGGCAATGGAGGTTCCCGCTGTTAAGACGTCGGCGTGCTGTATCAGTACTGATTGGTCTTCCGTGTGTTCCCAATGTCTGGAGTGCTGTCGCACAACATGGCGGTCTTGTCGTCTTGTGGTCACCCTTGGTCTGCCAGTACCGGGGCGATCATTTGTGGTGTTGGTGGCCCGGAAACGTTGCTGCAGCCTGTAGATGGTCCGAACGTTGACCTTGAAATCATTAGCAACGGCTTGTGCAGTGTAGCCAGCTTCAAGTCTTCCTAGCGCCTGGTTCCTCTGAGCAGTCGGGGAGTCGCGGCATCCTGCTCACGTTGCTATGTGAATGTTTCAACCAGGTTTGGGGTGCATTTTATAGGGCTGTTCCTTGTTCCTTGTGAATAGCACGTGCAACATGAGTTGCATGAAAAACATGGAGAACACCGTACCATCTCCGAGATCAGGTTGCGTTTTTGAGACCATTTCTTGGGTGTCATTCTGAGTTTGGAAAGGAATGTCTTTGCTCAGGTAAAGTTGGAGATGTTGTCAAAATATACAATCAAAACATGAAATGAGTTTACAGTTTTCTGTTCCTGTGAAGGAAAATTCCAAACTGACGTTTCTTATGCTGCTTAGTATGGTATGCATTTGTTTTCCGATTTCATAATAAAATATTTATACATATTTGATCAAACAATTTTAGAACAAAATTGATTCATTTCAGTCAAGTGTTTTTCAACTGTTCGTGTGATTGTAGAATATGTTGGGCCGAAATGGGATTATAATACAGAAGAAAATATTAACTATGTTGAATCAATATGGCATATATGATTTGCAAATAACGTTCCAACGACCCATGCATATATATTTCACATGATGATACAATAGCCATCGAGTGTCGGAATCAGTGTGCAAAACACTAACAAATGTGCATATCATTGGGTTTTTAATTTTATAAGATTGTAATAAGTATGATAGAATAAATTATCTGTATACAAAACGAATTGACTCATGGTTAGTTTACGATGAATATATAAAAACACAAAATACTCATGGTGATTACAAATGCACAGAAAATGTTATATTTTAGGGTGGAACCTTGAGACAGGTTTACTTTCCACTATACGGTCGTGAACTGTTGCATTAAGGGCGTTACTACCAACGAAACCCATCCTGAATACTTTAGTATACCCATACCTGAAGCCAGTATCAGAGCATACATATGCCATATACTGACATCATTTAGAGCATGACACCCTAGGAGAAATAAACCAACATCTGAAGCCATAAATGATGTAATTTGATATCAGTAATTATTCAGTCTGTTAAATATTTTCGTTTAGCCCATGTTTGTCGAAAACATTCGTACAATAATTTGCATGTGCACCGACACATGGCCAAAACGACTGTAAAGACATCACGTGAGCGAAGACAGGTCACATGACAAACAAGAGGCCGGCAACCAGGAAGTGAGACGCGGAGGGACAGCACGTTCACAACGGTGTAGTTATTGAGGTATGTCAAACATTTAGTCAATATTATACAAACACAAGATTACTTTTTGTAATAGCATCATGTTGCGATTTCTGTTGAAATGTTTTTGTCATGTTTTACCTATGTTGGTATGTGTACCGAAGTTTCACTTCAATACAGAAAGTAGACTTGGTAACCACATATCCCAACATATTAAAGTCGTATTACATCTGTATATGTCTGTATAATGTCAATTAGCTGCTGATATCTCATTGCCGAGACAGTCTACCCCCCAGGATGCCTTTCTACACAGTATTTGTGGTATCAACATTAACTGACACGGAGCAAAGCAGACCGACGAGAACAGTTAAGGCATCGTCACAATAGACACGTTTACATCAGAGTTCTGTCCCTTTAAGAAACAAGTCCGATAGACTTGCATGGACCAGGCAGGTGAGGGGATGAGGGCATGTGACAGACAGACAGACAGATATTTTATTTAAGTCTCACCTCATGTAAAAGTACAGATATATACACACATATACATAAAATGAGCCACCCTTTAAGGGTTAAGAGAGACTATTACATAGAAGTGACATATATGATAAAAGTAACAATATGAAATTAGCTGTATAAAAGATGTTTTCTTCTTTGAAGTATATAAAAGCAGGTTTTGGCTGTAAAATAAACATGTTCTTTAAATAGTAAAATCATTTTTTCATTATCACATCAAATCTAGGAAGTTGGGATAGCTGAAACACATCATATAAACTTTCACGTAGATCATCGTACAGCGGACATTCCAACAGTACATGACGTTCATCCTCAATCTTATCACTACATTGAAAACACACCCTTGTGTGTGTGCGTGCGTGCGTGCGTGCGTGCGTGTGTGCTGGGGTGGGGTATGGCTATATATGGATATGGGGGATTACATATGGGTTGTGGCATGAAATTCCGATTATATCAGATTACTCAAAACATACATTCGTGACTCAACATTCACTACTTACATTGTAAACGACCCTGTTACGACCCTATGTACTGTATTACATCTACAAACTGTGTGTAATAAATTCCTTATTCATTAACAGCTTTTACTCGAGGATATAAATTAAACATTGATTACAACTTGATGATGAGTGTTCTCAGCTTGAACATCATACCATACTAAACACACCAACTGTATACCTTTGATCTCACAGAGTACAACACATACGTGAAGTCCCGTACACCCCACCAGTGACACGTGTTACTCATTGTATAGTAATGTAAGTAATTAAAGAGGGTCTTGAAAGTTTTATAGCCGCACCTTATAGATTTAAATCTGTAACAGAATCAACTTTTCTCTTCCAGTTTCGGTTTGAGCTCAGTTAAATTCATTTTCTATCAATGGTTTATGACTAAAACAGTTGTTTCTGAAGCAGTATTTATGTACGTATTCTGGTATCCATTAAAAACACAGATTTATTTTCATTTATTTCCAGTCATTTCACTCAACAATGTGTATATCAAGATCATTGGTGGGATAAATGTCTGACGCTTAAGAAACCAGCGTTACCTCCCTTCTTCCACAACTTCTCCGTCCACAGTCCAACATATGACGACGCGTCCTTTGACAACTCTCTGCGCATGCCTAATTGAGGTTACTTTGCTGTATGATGGGGGTGATGCATTCATGAAAAATTTCAAAATGAAAAACTGTGTAAATGTTGTTGTTCTACACTCACAACAAGTGCACTTACGCGTGTACTGATGGATGCAGACATGCGACGAGACGTCTGTCTAATGTTTGTTCCTATATATCTGCACATACCTAATTGAGATGTTGCATCACTGTATGGTTGCTTGTTCGGTCAGCTGATCAGCGCAGGAATGCCAGTTAATCTGTAGACAAAATGGACGCTGTGATGAGGCGCGATCGTGGACGCAAGCTGACGATAGCCAACCACCATTGATGGTCGGGAAAAAAGGCTAATTGGTTTCCGGGATCATTTTCATTTCTCTTCACGAAATAACGCTAAATTAAGAGCAATGAAAAATGTTACACTCAAAGACCACGGTCTAGAAACTCCGCGAGTATCAGACATCTTCAGTAGCCCATTCTTGTCGTAAGAGGCGACTAACGGGATCGGGCGGTCAGGCTCGCTGACTTGATTGACACATGTCATCGTATCCAAAATGCATAGATCGATGCTCAATAGATCACTGGATTTTCTGGTCCAGACTTGATTTTGTCTATAGACCCCCGCCATGTAGCTGGAGCATTGCTGAGTGCAGTGTTAAACAACACACCAACCAACCAAATCAGACACCAACCAAATCAGAGTGAGTAAGTGAGTTTACTTTTACGCCGCACTCAGCAATATTCCAGCTATATGGCGGCGGTCTGTAAATAATCGAATCTGGACCAGACAATCCAGTTATCAACAGCATGAGAATCGATCTGCACAACTAGGAAGCCTGGCCACCCGATCCCGTTAGTCGCCTCTTACGACAAGCATAGTCGCCTTTTGTTGCAAGCACGGGTTGCTGAAGACCTATTCTACCCCGGATCTTCACGGGTACCAAATCAGAACATATATAACTTTCATTCAAGCAAATAATTCCTTTTATGTTGAAAAGGAGACACAGTGAGATCGGGAATCTAGACTTTCTTCAATTATCGCTTTAACATCTCAAAAAGGGGCTGGGCGGAAGTGAAAATAATGTAGTTGATAGTCTGTGGGACAGATCATGGGTGCCATAAAAAGATGTTCACATTCAGAGCGGACAAGATGGTAATGTGTCCGAGATCTAAGTCAGACGTATCATATCATGCTCAGCGACGAAACAAGGTCTAGGGCCCGATATCATTGCATTCATATTAAGTTTTTACTTATATATTGTTTGAAGTTTTATCTTCTCGGTAATTATTACAATCTTCTGAAATGAACTTTTAAGTTGGGGATGTCTCCAACACACTCCAAAGTAATTCGGTCCCCGCCATCAACATGCATATCCGCCCATTAATGCAAACTCGTTCAACCATGCATCGTTCGATATTTTTCCGGTCATACCTTGTTTAAGAAAAATAGTTGTTAGACCTGTTTTGTAACCAAATTGGAATTTTGTTCGTCAACCCAACCATCTATTGAAACTTATATCAGCCCTTTCTCGCACAAACTCATTCACTTTTTGTGTGGTATTATATTTTTAGAATTGTTTGATCACTGTTCGGGGAGTTGGCGAGTCAGTAATGAAGCCTACAACTTTATGGGCGACAATGTCTGGACAACTGCATAGAGCGACGTTTGGGTGTAGATTCTTACATCAATATCAAGTTAAACATATGACTACAGCCAAGTGACAAGAAGTATATATAAATATCATGTTATGATAAACAGCAGATTAATATTAACAACAGCGTGTAATTGATTTACAATTGAATAAGTGGCAAATAATTAGAGGAGGTCAGGTGGAGTTTAAGAACAACCAATAGCACAGGTGATGAAGCCAATAAACAGGAGGGCTAAGTAGCAACAACAAGCTGATCAGGTGCTATGATAGAGTCTACATCTTGAGTAGGCCATTAGTACGTAGTACCCTTGTCTCTGTTGATCAAAGGTTTATGGTGGCGATGGCTTACAAAAGTTTTCTTTTTGTGAAGTCCTGATTCTTGCTGGGTAGGATTTCAACGTTGTCAAACTGGATTAGATGGATAGGGCATGTGGTGATTTGAGTGTTCTGATTTGCCGTTTTTCGCTGGGTGCATGGACAATACCCAGTCAGTGCCATGAAGCAAGTTGTCCCGTGTTTCTGTGGTCACAGACGTTACTGGCATTTGGTATTGTGACAAATACTGATGCGTTTCCTCATTCTTGTCGAAAACTGATCTCTTCAAAATGATTCCCTTTTCTCCATTCGTATGTTTCTACACCCATGAAGATCCGGGTTCGAATTGGTCTTCAGTAACCCATGGTTTACGGGCCCGGGTGGTCAGACTCGCTGGTGGACATATTACATCGTATCCCCATTGTGTAGATCGATGATCATGATATTGATTACTGAATTGTCCAGACTAAATTATTTACAGACCGACACCTTATAGCTGGAATATTGCTGTGTGCGGCGTAAACCTGCAGTCACTCACTCACACACGTTATATACTCTATGTTTACTTCAGATGGCGACCACCAAGAAACTGACAGACAACCACCTCACCTGTGTCATCTGTACTGAGGTGTTCACAGACCCTGCCACACTTCACTGTAATCACACATTCTGTAAGTCCTGTCTGCTGAAATACACCAACACACAGCCTGAAGCAATACAAGCCAAGTCCATCCCATGTCCCTCCTGTAGACAACTGACGAAGGTGACCACCCCTGACAGTCCAGTAGAGGAGTGGGTGAGTCAGCTGAAACCAAGCCACGTCATACAGGGACTGATGGACGACTTTGGACCTTGGAAAGAAGGTAACTAATCAATATTGTATATTCAATAAGCATATTATTTATAATGAATGGATGCACGCTATTTATGTGGAAATAGCAGTGACGCAAAACACTTCCAGATGTTTCCAGACTGCACCGTACAGCTGTCATACAGCTGAATGCAGCGTCAAACAAAGACATGATTCACACGATAAACGATACTCATGATTTAGTCACAATTGTACAATCGACTCAGCTTTTAGCAGAGATTTCATATGAAATGGAAAGGTGTTTTGTCGCCTCTACCTATTTGGATAACAGTAGGGACCCTTATTGTGTTTTTTAGCACAATTCTCGTTTTTCTTAGTTAGTTCGGATATATTTTGTTTAGTTTATTTTGTAAAAAAAAGTTCAATCTGCAGCGTTTAAGCCTCTATCAGCAGACACCTATCTTTACTCTGCAACAAACACAATTTGATATGATGATATTTTAGCACAAAAACCTACCTTTGTCAAAACAGACTCTAAATATCGCCGCTGTTTGTTATTAAGGTCTCCAATGTAAATGTTCCTGCTGTTTGTTGTTACTGATGCCGATGTAAACATCTAACGTGTTTGTTTTTACAGCTGGCGATGTTAATAACTGCAGTGTTTGCAAAACACAAAGGAAGACAACTCCAGCCAGCTCGTGGTGCTCTATCTGTGACGATGTCTTCTGTGATGGATGTCTGAAGATGCACAATATGATGCCAAGTTTACGTGACCATGAACTTGTGGATTTTTCTGATAAAACCAAAAGAAAAACTAAGCATTGGTTCATGTGTACAATCCACAAAGACAAACAGATCGAGTTGTTCTGTAAGGATTGTAGGGTGGCCATTTGTCATACATGCTGCAGTATAAAGCACAGGAAATGTGACGATGTTGACACTTTAGATAACATGACCCATGTTGTCAGAGAACACCTGTCAAATCAAAACCAAAACCTGAAAATCAAAATGACAACTTCAGAAAATGAGATAATCTTCAAGAAATCTGAAATTGAAGAAATAAAGACAAATGCGCAAAGTATCAGAAATGAAATCAGAAAATTACGACAGACTGTGGTAGAAGTGATTTTAATGAAGGAGAAACAACTCCTTGATGAAGTCGACCAATCTACTGGTGAACAAATACAGGAATTACAAACACAAATAAAATCCCAGGAGATTGAGCTGCAGATGTACCAGCAACAGAATGAGTTAACAGCCAATGCTGTCACGTCCAACTGTGAGATGGACATGTATGCCGTCTATGAGTCAGTGGGTGGGGAGTCGACAGACAACAGAGACACGGACAACCGACCAGCACCAGGAAGGGTTGTATTCACTCACGACATGGACAAGCTGAGTAAAGCAGTGGATGAGCTACAGCTAGGGAAGGTTGAAGTTGTCAGTTGTGTGAGTGACCACCAGTCTACCCCTGTTCTACATCACACTATTGACTGTAAGGTAGATGATGACAGTGACGATCCTTATTTGTATGACGTCACAGTGTTGACTGTTGAGGGTATAAAAGTAGCAGTAGTTGCTGATTGCTTAAACAAGAGAGTCAAAACATTTCACACATCAAAACCAAACTGGCATGGTGATCATCTACCACTTTCCACTGGCCCTCATCAAATAGCAAAGCTAAGCGAGCGTCGGATAGCTGTCAGTGTTCCGGAGAGTAAGGAAATAGTTACAGTGGATGTTACTCCACATCCTGTATTGCTGTCAACTATCAAAACAACAAAAAAGTACTACGGTCTGGCCTGTCTGAGTCCTTCACAGCTGGTGGCAGGTACGTGTGGACAGTCTCACTCTGTGGACATACTGGACATTACAGGGAAGATACTGAAGTCTATCAACACGGGTGTCATAAAGAATCCAGACCGTATCCATGTCACCAGTAATAACAACTTGATAGTCAGTGAAGGATTAATAGACTCCCTCGTATCTATGACCAGTGAAGGAGAAGCTGTTTTCACCTACACTCCCACAGGGGACAGAGCTCTGATTTATCCACGGGGTATCACAACAACCAACACAGGAGATATCCTGCTTGTAGACGGCCCCTCCCACAAGGTGATTCAGCTGACAGAGTCAGGGCAGTTTGTCAGAGATGTCCTTACACAACAGGATTGTTGGGAATCTCCTTGTGGTATCTGTCTTGATGGGGACAGGTTTCTGTATGTTACATGTGAACGATATGTCAGAGTATTCAGATTTAAGTGAAAGGTATCAGATGTAAATGAAAGATGCGTGCGCAAAGTAAGAGTTTAATGCCCGTGCCGATTTGAATAACACAAAAATGTTCAAGCGTCAAAGAGTACCTTTAACCATTTTTCGAAAGTAACTCCCAAAATTAAGACATTGATAAAGTATTGGAACAGGCTGTCATGGACAGAAGCCCGAGTTCGTGGCCCTATGTATTATAGAGTTGCAGGATGACCTGTCTGAGTCCTTCACAGCTGGTGGCAGGTACATACCAACAGTCTCACTCTGTGGACATACTGGACATGACAGGGAAGATACTGAAGTCTATCAACACGGGTGTCATAAAGAATCCAGACTATAACCATGTCACCAGAAATAACAACTTGATAGTCAGTGAAGGATTAATAGACTCCTTCGTGTCTGTGACCAGTGAAGGAGAAGCTGTTTTCACCTACACTCCCACAGGAGACAGAGCTTTGAAAGGGCCATGGGGTATCACAACAACCAGCACAGGAGATATCCTTCTTGTAGACGGCCCCTCCTACGAGGTGATTCAGTGGACAGAGTCAGGGCAGTTTATCAGACATGTCCTCATACAACAGGATGGTCTGGAATCTCCTCGTGGTATCTGTCTTGATGGGTACGGGTTTATGTATGTTACATGCGAACGAGTTGTCAAGGTATTCAGATTTAATTGAAAGATGCGCGCTTACAATCCGTGCCGATTTTAATAACTTAGAATTCCAGCGTCAAAGAGCACCGTTCACCATTTTCCGAAAGTAACTCCAAAAGTTAATACATTGATCACATATTGGAACAGGTTGTCACAGAGAGAAGCCCCAGTTCATTGCTCTATGTAATACAGAGTTGCAGGATGACCTGCTTTAATAGAACCATGATACATGTCAGCTGACCAAGAACAATGGTATTGTCTGTTTATGAATATCTTTTCATATTCTATGTTTGGAGTGAATAGTCAGCCAGATATGTCTGCCGATGAGCATTAACATACTAACAGAAATGAAACCATGGCTGTTTTGTTTCAGTTCGTAGTCTAACCAACCCTGATATTAGACTACGACCGGGATTACTTTTAAATGTTTGCTTTCATGTTGGAATCTGACCAGCTTTACTTCACATCAGCGTTTGCCAATTACAATCATCCAACCAAAACTAGGCGCAGATTGTTGACAAGATCTTATGGAACAATAGAAACAATAACAGCAATGCATAATTGTTCCAGTTTTGGATGCATTCCAAGCCGTTTCCTTTCTCACTTCCATAATAAATCTAGACAGACAATAATTAAGTTCGTCATCATTAAGATCCTTTTTAGATCATGCGGAATCAAACTAAGTCGATACCCGGATGTATTACCATTTAGTATCCTTCCATTCCTCGAAATTCGCCAAGATTCAAACAGACGACATGCCCATTCTATAGACTTCTGTGTTTTCTCTGGCACTATCTTCTTGCTCATTTCCGTAGCTTCCCGATCAGATAAGGGTTCACCGAAGCGTGTATTAGTTGATTTCAGAGTAGCATAATTGTCGGAGAAAATGCATTACTATGAACATTTCAGCTCAAATATATTTGTGAGCACGGAATAAAATCTTCTTCAGACATTCTGGACCCATTTGTTGCTGACACTGGCAATGGCGGTGAATGTGAGAGCATGTTTCTTGATGAACGTTTGCGCATGCGGGAAAATCATAGATTAATAACTCTCGTACAGGGCAAGCTAAAATTCAATCATTCGCCTGTAACCAAGAATAACATATCAGTTACTACAATTACTCTGCGCATTCAGGGACACATTACATTGTCAAACAGCCCTTATCGTGTTCACATATATCAGATGGTACGTGCTGTAAGTGACATGTGAAGGCACGTGCAATACGAAATTTTCAAGGACCTTAAGTGTGAAAAAAACTTTTACAACGTGAGAGCGCAACTCAATATACTGCATTGAATATACTGCATAGGCTGCTGAAGACCAATTCTAACCCGGATCTTCACTGGTCTCATGTTTGTTTCTTTGTTGGTAGCAATATCCCGGCTTCTTGACGGTGCCTTGTAAACCGTATAATCGACCGCGTAATACCGTGGGCGGTGGGGTAGCCCTCATGGTTCGCTCGTCACGCCGATGACACTGCTTTTAGCAATATTCCAGCATTATCACGGCGAGACACCAGAAATGGGCTTCACACATTGAACCCATGTGGGAAATTGAACCCGGGTCGTCAACCACAAGGCTACCCCACCGCCCTCTGATATTTATCTGGATTTTGTCTGTATGAAAAGACATATGTACTCAGCAGCAAAAACACACAACGTCAGTACGAATTCAAAATTAGATAGGCTCTGTAATCAAATCATCACAGAAATGGACATAATAAGCGAATGAAAACATTTTTTGTGTACAATAACTTGATATATCATTCAATAACTCAGCACAGTTTCAAGACATTAAGTGAACGTTTGCAGTCCATTCAGACTCTTTGACATCCGTATCTAGTGTGACCACCACGAGCGGCAATAACTGCAGCAAAGTGTCTATGCATGGAGTGCACCAATCGATTGATGAAGGCAACTGGCACCTGAAACCACACTCTGAAAGTTCTGGCGCAATAATTCGGCTTTGTTCGGCCTTGGTATGACATTATTCAGTCTCCTCTGAATTTCATCCCAAAGATGTTCAATTGGGTTTACATCAGCACACTGCATAATGTTGACACCGTTTTGCTGCAGGAAGTAGCTCTGGCAGTATGAGCCCTGGCGTTATCATGCTGAAATGTTGCTCACGTGACGTGCGAAATGTGGTATAACGCGGGTCTGAGAGCTTGGTCGATGTAGCGTACCGCTGTGATGCCGCCTCCTCTCTCTGGACCAAGGTTCTGGAACACCACAGGACCCACTCTCTGGTTCAGGCCTATTCCAACCCATTCCATGATGCTTGCAGATCCCCATGAGTCTCTTTCCATAACACATTGGTCTGAGTAACGCTGGCCACGTCGTCGCCATATTCTTGATCTGCCATCTGCGGTTGATACGCAGTACCGACTATCATCT